AATACTTCAATGTAAATAGAGAATGATGTAAAATTAAGTTATATTAATTTTTAAGCTAAAATTGCCTGTACTTATGTATGTAACCTTTTGACTTGTTCTGTATCCAAAGGTACTAACCTACTTAGGATTTATACAATGTAAATAAATTCAATTCAATCTTCAAGATCACTTCCTTCTACATCAAATTTATTAACACTATAATCTTACACCTCTAAAAGCAAGTGCTAAGAATAACTTTACCTTGCAAAAACTTTCCTGTTTTTATGAACAGATAATTACTACGTGGTTATATAAAGTTTGAATATAATGTGATCCACAAATTATGTACAAAATGTGGTTTCAGCAAAGCCAATTACTACACGCACTCACCTTTCTTTCACACATTTGTGACAAAGTACACCACCATATGCCCTTTTTACTGTCTTCTTTCGCCTACACATGCGAGATCTTTCCATTGGTCTTGCTGGCTGAATACCTCTCAACTTGTCCTTGCATTGACCACACCTAGGTATCCTCTTTGGCTTCTTCAAATACTGATAAACCAATTTACCACCAGGCGTACGGACACTGTTGAGGCACAAATCATGTGACAATTGCTGAGGTACAAATCTGGTACTTCCAAATCACAAATGCATGCTAACATAACCTGTACGTTACACATCACCGAAAGCACTTACACACGATACCAAGAGTGTTTTTCGTTTTACCTTACCATATAGTTAATAACAAGAGATAATTACAAAATACTTACACTCGTCTTCTATTACTTTTCGTGTTGTACGACAAACGTCGTCTATACACCAGTCTCTGCACCATGTCCCTCGGTGTGAAATCTGTAAAGTACAAATTTTCAAATATACATTTTTATGAATAATACAATTCTGATAACACAAATACCATAACACTTTTTATCGTGTTATATAATTATGGATGATGCTTTCCGATTCTTCAATCACTAAATAACAAAAACATAGCTCACTTTTACCAATATGGCGGAAGCAGAATGTTAATAACTTCACCGCTCTAAATTCACTTCCGGAGGAAAGCGAGATCGATTTTTAGGTGCAGTAGTTATCGAAGTTATTATATGTATCTTTAAAATGGACTCTACTGGTTTATAAGGAAAGAATTATATTAAAAATCTTAAGTTTGAGCCATAGATTGCATGCGTCAATGAAAGTAACAACCACGACCGGTCACAGCTTCTAACTTGAACCGCAACCACAGACAATTCAATTCGAACGTAGCTCATACGGTTTGTACTTACCACGCCTACCACCAGGAGGGTGGAGAAAACTGCATGAGGAGCCTCATAACTTGTACCCTTCTCCAAGTATAATTAGAATGATCAAGTCAAGGAGGATGAGGTTGGCAGGGTATGTAGCACGAATGGGAGAGACGAGGAATGCGTATAGGATATTGGTGGGAAAGCCAGGAGGAAGGAGACCACTGGGAAGACCAAGGCATGCGTGGGTGGACAATATTAAAATGAAGAGATAGGATTGGATTGATCTAGCTCAAGATAGGGACCAGTGGAGGGCTCTTGTAAACATGGTAATGAACCTTCGGGTTCCATAAAATGTTGGGAAATTCTTGAGTAGCTGCAGAATTGGCAGCTCCTCCAGAAGGGCTCAGCTCCATAAGTAAGTATCATCAGGGATACCACGGTTGCCATCATTGCAATTTTGGTGCGGGTGAATTGACTAATGAAACACATATCCCCCCCCTTACTGTAATGGGTTGGCAGCTACAGCCTGTTCCAAGTTCATCACGTTAAAGAAAATTTCACCTCATCAGTATTAATCAGTAGTTCTGTCTTGTTCACAGGAAGTGGTTGAAAACTGGGCCCTTACTATTTCACTTCTTGACAATGCCAGAAAACCAAAGTGCCCCTTCCTGACAAAAATCAGTTTGTGGAGATCACTGATTAGAATGCCCCACTTTGGGGAAGGCAAAGCAGAGTATATTTTCTGGATTTGAATACAGTGTAGTTTCATAGAAGTCCTTGACATGTTGGAGGAATGTATAACTTCCATTCTCAGGGTTGAAAAGCAACAAACCAGCAATTAGCAGATGGAAATCAGAGTGCACAGCCTACTGAAAACCAGGCCTCAGAAAGAAGAAAAAAATTGGAGCAAAGGAAAGTAACTTGGCTAGGGCCATTTCAGAAATTGGAAGAGAAATCAGATATATGTCCAGGCAAGTCTGCCTGGGGAACAAGAAACAGGCACTAAGAAAGACTGTGGAGGGAGAACGTAAACGACATGATAAAGCAACAGCAGCAGTCAAGGAATGCTAGAAGAATGGAAGCTAGTGGGATGGGACTAAGTTCCTTGTACTGCGGCCACTTTTGGCCTATTGTACCTACCCCATATGACAGGTGAGGGTGATCGTGCAGCAATTGGTGGAATGAAGATTGGCAGGGGAACCTGAAGTACTCAGAGAAAACCTGCCCCAGTGCCACTTTGTCCACCACAAATCCCACGTGACCAGACCCGGCATCAAACTTGGGCCACCACGGTGGGAAGCCAGCGACTAACCGCTTGAGGTATGGCGTGGCCTAAGCTACCTACTTAACTTACTCATCAACCCAGAAGATGGGGATGATGCATTCTCCCAAATGCTGGTGGACTTCTACGAAACTACACGATATTACAACACAGAAGACCATATCCTTCATGGATTGCTATTAAAATTAAAACATGAATTTGTGACAAACCATACTGTCTTCTCTCCAATCTTTATTGTATTCCACTTACTATACATGTTCTGCATCACATATATGTAAACACATATTATTTACAATGTTTGCCTTGACTGACTTGTGACAATCACAATACTGTATATTAATACTTACAACATCCACACATCAGCATTAATAAATTATTTTTTGCCCAGTCAATACTAAACTAGCTGACAAAAACATATCCTATATAAAAAGCAAGTGTCAAATTATGTAGTAGTGTATATGTATATAAATATTTGTATAGGAAAGGAAATGATACTTGTATTGAGTAACACCAATTTTTAACACTGCAAGTGCCTTCAACTCTCTAGCAATTGTCAGTCTTAACAAGGTAGGTCAATTCCTTAGTCCCATGATTATTTATATTGCATTTAATATTTCAGATATACGTATTAAGAAACTATAGGAATATGTCCTCTTTTATATTTATAATCTTAACTGGTAGAGTCCTGCAGTGTAGAAAAATCTAACAAACATGTATAATAATATCATCCATACCTTTGTGCTATTTAATCAGTTCAAATTACTACATAAAATGTATCCTACACCCCTCCACCTGTTATTGGGCTATTTCATGTATGTACTAGGAAATGGGCATCAAAGATCGCTTCTGAATGGGGTTTGAAAGACTAAATCTGGTAATGGCAGTAGGACAGTTATGCAGTACACAAAGTCCTAGAAAAGCCATAACATACAACTACCACCACCACCACTTCCATTCATACTCAAAATACACTTCTGATACTAAACCTGTATCTATACTGATATCAAAAGTTAAAATTTTCATTTTCTATTTCAAAAACTGACCGCTAGTGTCAATCTGCATTCTGCCAGCAATTACAAGAGACGCTGCCAGGGAAGAAAGTAATGTCTGGTAAAAATAATTAAGGAAATATACAGTTCCATATTTGCATTAATACATGGGGCTAATCTCCTTTAACACAGTTTTAAACATACAAAATCCATAAAATTCATTTTACAAATTTATGTTATTTATATAACCATCCTCAATTATTTGGTGTATAGTATATTTAGTACATTAAAAACAAAAGTAAGAAACTTTTAGGGACATTCTACAACTGTCAACCCTCCATTTCAAATAAATAATAGTTTATAAGGAAGACAGACACATCAAATATTAAACAGGGCATATAAATACTCTTGGGTAACAAATGCTTTTGAGCACTGTGATAATTCTACAGAGCTTAAATATCACCAGATGATTACAGTATTAGTGACTTATTACAAAAGCTTATGGGTCAATTGCTTTCTCCTATTCCTCATCACATCTAATTGCCTCTCTAGTCCACTGATAAGTTTTTATACAGTTTAACGAAAGATCTAACCACCACCTCATCTGAGCTTCTGTAATGTATGACTGATTATTGTGTATTTTGATATCTTATACACAACATTGTTCAACCTAAACATCAAATTCTTTCAACAAACTTTTATATTTTGACAGCATGCATGATGTACTGGCACCCCTTGCCAAGTGGGGCAAAATTATCCAAGTCAGCAACAAATGACTGCAATATCAGATAGCAGTTCTTCATTAATATGCAGATCTCTACACAAATATGGTAACTTAAAAGAAGTTTCAGGCTTAGATGAACATAAGCTGAGTCATCAGTCAAATCAGTCAATATTCTGGAGGGGGAGGGAGGTAATAGTTTAGACACTGGTACTTACCTTTAAGCTATTTTAAAGAAGAAATTACAGAGACCACAAAAGACTAATTCTTACTCTGAACATATCTGTAAATAATATCTACTGTATAATGAAATGAAAATATCAGAATCACCATTTTCACCCAACACAAGATACACCATAACTATTACCGATTTGAAATATTATGCCTTTGTATTTCAGATGTACTTTTCACTTTCTGTCTTACATTAATAAAATCAGGGGCACGTCTGGCAGTATTATCATAGAATTTTTCCACATTAACTGCTCCCTCTCCCCATACTATATAAATGGTACCTATTCCATATTGCAACTGAAAACAACTGTACATCTTCCTGCATTTAGTACAGGCAACACTGATATATATACATTACAATGTGGAATAGTTACACCTCACCTGCAGGATCTTTGGATGTATCCATTGTAATTATAAAACTTACTTCGGTCCATGAAATGAAGTATATATCAGTTAAGTGTACTAGTAATGGCATAGAGGATGGTAACACTTTGATAAAACATCCAAAATTATTTCGAAGGTGCAGCCAACAATATGAAACAGTAACCTTGCACAACCCAGTCATCTGGGCTGACTAAATCTTGCATCTGAGTGAGTAGAGAAAACAGGATATTTGGTGTTCCTCTTTAATAGTAGTAATAAATAAATAAATATTTGGTTAATGATTTTCTCAGCTCAGCAACTAGACTGACTAGACTTCTATACTAGGACACTTGCATGTTTATTTACTTTACAAGGTACCTTTTAAGAGCACTCAAATTAGCTGTACACTTGAAAAAATATTTTCACTCTTCCAAACTGAGAGTCAATAATACTTAGAGGTGGAAGTGTCATGCCATGTGTAGGGGTTGAGCTGTGTAACTACTGACAACATTCAATCAATAACAAATAAGTATTGTCATTTCAAGCCACTGGAAGATGATATGCTCCTATCTTGTTGATATAATAATGCATTTCACTGTCCATGCAACTGCCTCTTCTGTTACTGTGTATCCTGCACTTCTTTAATGCACGTATGATGATAAATGTTGAACTCTGATGAATAAAAGTACTTGTGTCCTAATTTTGAAGTACCATGTTTGTATCTGAATTGGCTGTAAAGAACTAACTCCATGGCTTTAGTCCATAAGCAAACTAACTTCACCAATAAGCGGGAGTCACTCAGTCAGTCGAATTGGCTGTAAAACAAAATTAAAATTTCAGGTATATTATTTTGGAATTTATTAACTATGAAAAGATCATTTGCACAACAGGGTAAGATCTGTGGAAAGAATGGGAGATAAAACAATGGAATCTGAACTGTCTCTAGAATACCTACTATCAACTTCAACATTACTAAAACCTATGTAAGATTTGAGGCTTTCACGGCAGTGACTATGAAGAAAGCAGTCTTCTGGGATTTGGCGCCGTGTATATGTGGTGTTAACCGACGTTTTGGAGGAACGTATCGCCTCCATCTTCAGGGTAGAAGGAAAAATATAAGAAATCCACAATCACGGTCTCTTCGCTTGCAGATTTCTTATATTTTTCCTTCTACCCTGAAGATGGAGGCGATATGTTCCTCCGAAACGTCGGTTAACACCACATATACACGGTGCCAAATCCCAGAAGACTGCTTTCTTCATTACTAACACCTGTATTACTTTTTAGATCCAAGAGTGTCCTATCTTCCACATTTGTCTAGTTTATTCAAACTTATTGCATGACATGGAAATTTTATATCTTCTGGGTGGATGACACCCAACAGATTTTATGCCACAATTTTAAGGAAAAGGGGCTACAGTTAATGAGACTGCATAAGAACACAACTTATAACAATGTAATTAAAAAGTTATGATGTAGAATTATGACCTAATATATCTAAGATTTGGTATCTTTAAATAATATCTGTTCATATTTTCATGATTAGAAACTACAATATCAGATCTTTCACTGGAAATATTCAGAGACAAATCTGCTAAAGTACTTAATATGAAACCTCTAATTTTATGTAACTGTATTAAATATAAGACTCATTTATCTCAGTAACACTAGCATCCTGTATGACCTTTTAACACTGCATCTGAACAGTTGGAGACAGTGTCACCATGATAGACTTGTGCTTTCACATTTTCTTTCAGCTGGACACAAATCTGGAACCTACGAGATGGCATTCGCTTTGCAAACTACATACACTAAACCCTGTAATGGAAGCTATAAGGACTGCCATTTGTGCATATCCATTGCTGTAACAGGTTTCCCAGCAGACTCTGGGAAAGATGCTGACTGTCAAATCGAACCGCAGGGGACCCAAAGAGTTTTCTTCTGCTCCTGATCAACAGCTACCTTAACCTGTGTGCACATGTATGCCACATTCACACCTGCAGGGATCACAGCTGAAACAAAACAATAAAAAAACTGTATAAAATGTAATCTAAACAGAATGAGAGGTTTCAACTCATATTTCAGTAGAAGCCAGGGGTAGAAGTAAGATTAACATGACAGTACAAATTATGCTTTTATGCCATGAATACTGAGAGGAGTGATAATTGTTACCTGAAATGTAATGTCGGTATTCAGACTCCAACTTTGAGGCATGTTCATACATTTCTTTGGCTGCCTTAGCTGAAACTTTCTCCATAGAATAGCGAGTATCCTTCACTTCTTTTATCTGTTTTGTTGATTTAAACTTGATCAATAGCACTATAGGATAAATTTGGTGACGATGAAGCCTCTCCACAGAGGCTAGACTGATATCTAAAATGCAATGGCTATTCTGGAATGAAAATGATCATTATATACATATGCATTACTGTGAGAGACCATATTTTCTTTTTTATCACACAGTTAAAGCTGAATTTGCAACTGATGTTAAACCAAGTTTCTAAACTATAGCCTCTTTATACTATGACATCTGTAATGTAGCCATACAGCTACTCTACCCTCAATTGTGAAGAACTGATACACAATTTAGTCAACGTAGTGGAAGTGTAAATCATTTCCACCACAACTTCTACAAGCAGGAAATGTGGTTATAAAATATATCAGAATTTAACACTTTAACATTTAGTGAGCTGTGCGTTCACCATATCCACCCAGCAAACAGAATTTACACATCCACGCAGTATCTCATCCTTGGATGTATAAACACATTCCTTCTTTGCCTTTAAAACTCAGTTTGTAACTGGCCACTTTCAAGGTGTAGAGAAGCAGAATTATTCTTGAAAAACCTATCTTTGCTCAGGTGGTCAAGAAATTTCTCACCTTTTATGAAACATAAAGGTTCATATCCTGAGCTACATGAATGCTGTGTACTCATATGAGGTTCTATCAGAAAGTTCCTGGACTAGGTCAAAAAGGAAATGCTGGCTGAACTTAAATTTGGCTGCCATCTCCTTCAAAATAGTCTCCTTGGGACTGTGTACATCAATCTCATCATTTTTTCAGTGCTTCAGAAGCACCGTGGAAGTCATTTTCCTTAATACTGTTGAGTACTGTTTGCAATTCCCTTTGGATATTAGACATTGTTTCAAAATGCCATCCCTTCAGTTTCATTTTCAATTTGGGAAACAAAGCAAAATGATGGGGGGCTAAGTCCGGCAAGTTGGGAGGATGGGGAACAATAATCATGTTGTTCGTCACAGACTCTGTGGTTTTCAGGGATGTATGGGTGGACACACTGTTGTGATGAAGGAGCAATGCAGTGAATCTTCACATTTTCTGTTAAGATCTCCTGGAAAACTCCATAACTGATACCAAAGGTATCTGCAAGCTCACAGACTGTTTGGCCACAGCCTTCATGGATGAGTTCTCAGATCTTTTCAACATTTTCTGTCGTTTTTTTGGTGCTGGGTCACCCTGAACGTTTGTCATCTTCAACTGACACTCGACCCACCATGAAATATGAATGCCATTCGAAAACCATTGTCCGGCTTAAAGAATGTTCTCTAAAAGTCTCATGAAGCATTTCTAGGGTTTTGGTAGTGGATTTACCAAGTTTCACACAAAACTTGATGCAGACATGTTACTTTATTTTGTCATCAATCGCAGACAAAACGAAACACAAAGTCAAAAAGCATTCATGTAAAAACAATGCATGTTCACAATGCAGTGTCACGTGGCAGACTGATGCAATAGGCTTTAGAAAGTGTGACCTTGGCTTCCCTTCTCATCTTCTTTCACTAAAGCAGCTGCATCAGTAACAGTCAGGGAGCTTTCCAATATAATCCTGTATATTTAAGGTATACTGTAATATTATTCTTCCATATATGGAAAAATTTGGCATTTACAGTCAGACAGATGAATGGGCACACAGAAATGACAAAACAGACAATTTTCAAAATATACCTGAGTCAGTTATTCAACAACATGAGCTGGTATGAAAATGTCAACCAGGTATTGGAAGACAGCAAGAAGAGAGGTAAGTGCAAGAAATCAAAAGGGAATGACAGTGGGAAAAAATAAGAGATGATTATGTTAACAAACAACATTGCCATGGACACCATCTGAGTTTGAATATTACTGGTCCATATAAGGGTTACTGTTTGCTGAAATTGTTTAGACGCTGAGCATCGGTATGTGGTGCATCCACCCAATTGCTGAACTCCATGGAATTAAGGGTACTAACAGAGTTAAATAAGTTAAAATGCAACTCTGGATTAAAAAATATTGTTTTCAGCGTAAGTGAATGAAAATACAGTTACCTTATCACAGATTTCTTTCACAGCTGTAACAGTGGTGCACTCAAAGTTACTGCCTTTCTTTCGGAAGTCCACAAAAATGTTCTCTGATATCCCTTTCTCCATCATATTCAGAGGGCAGTGCATAACTTCTGGGACACAATGAGTGAACTTGTCAGGGAAATCCTGGATCAGTTTCTCCGTTACACATTCAGCCAGAGGTCCAACTATTAGGACTGGCCTGAACACTGGATCTAATGAAAAAACAACAAAAAAATTAATTTAGCTTGTATATTCACAGTAAAAAGAATATTTTAAAATTGAATACATAAAGTCCTTGAGAAACTAAGAGTCACTCATCCAGTCAATAAATCCCAAATCTCACTTCAGTCTCTCAAGTAATCTCTCAGATTTTTCAACAGATTATGTATACTTATCTTCCCTCCCCTCGCCTGATACATATACCTGGGCAGGTGCCCATCTCATTCTCATTTTTTTGAATATTATAATAAAATTTAGTCAACAGTAAAAGTTCCAAAGCTCCTTATAACGCAATTTTCTCTGGTCCTATACTGCTTCCTCTGCCTCAGACCCCAAATATTCTTCTCAGCACCTCATTCTAAAATGATCTACATTTCTCCTTCAGGGTGAGAGATGAAGTTCCACATTCATACAACACAACAGGTAAAACTACTTTTCTGTATTTTAGTCTTTATGCTATTAAACAGGAGACAGAAAGACAAAAGATTCTGAACTGCATAATGAAACCAACTTAGTTAAAGACAACTTGACACATGAAAATATAAAAACTTAAAATGTCAAGGAAAAGTAGCTCTGGAAGGCCTCTGAAATGATGGAAAGACTGTGTTCTGTTAATACTCACAACCATCAACCAGTGGGGCAGGACTTTTGTGTTAGCCATGTCCCAAAGCAGAAGGAGATAATGTCTGTATGCATGCAAGCAACTGAAGTGTGTTAACATTCCCCATCTGGCTGACATGATAGCTAAGAATGACATGCACTCCCTCCTCCACTCAGGCCTATATTATATTGTGACTCTTCTATTTGCATCTGAGCTTATAAACCGTTAGTGTAAGCCTGAAGGAAGTGACCATGGACTGGTTGGAGATGGCAGACAATGCATTATCTGATCATTTCTACTGCCAGTATACAGAGCGCCAGTGAACCACAAAGTTAACAGCTTTTGTTTTTCAAAGTGTTATCTGGGCTAACAGTTAACATGAATGCTATGTAGCAGGTTTCAAAAGGTATAATACTGAAAAGGAAGATAATATCTTCTAGCTAATGATCTTTCTGTTTAAAAGAGAACTGATCAGTGTTCTAAGGGCAAATAATTCAAGCCAACTGCTGAGTTGTAATTTCAAAACAGCACAATAAAAGAGGAGTAAAACTCGGGAGAACCATACTGTAGTATGTCCGCTAAAAGCCGGAATAGTTTAACCTGAAGAAACATCTGTTATTAGAGTATGGTACAATGAACAGTAACGCAACAATGGAACACAAAATGCAATATCGGCACACAACAGTTATGCATGCAACAATACAGGAATTGTGGGAAGCAGTGTTCTCTGTGAGCCCATGCCAAAAGTGACATCATGCAATAACAAAAAAGGAAGTCTCAGTGCAATTGAGATGTAGCATGAGCATTGGAACATAAAAATCAATGAATATAAAGCCCCAGGCCACCTGCTTTTCTCACAGACTTAGGGGTCCCCCTAACGCTCACCTTACACTGAATGGACAGAATATCCTGGGGTAATCTTCGATAAGAGGATTAGAGACTGCACATAGAAATGACTGAAGCCAAGACCTTCAGAACATTTATTAGAAATTTACTGTTTATTTGGAAGTGAGCCTTTAAGCACCAACATTAAACTAATCCTCTATAAAGCACTGATTGGATCAGTAACAACTTATGCTTGCTCCACCTGGGAATTTGCACAAGATATCTACCTCCTAAAATAGCAGTGCAACCACGCTCAGCATAGATCTACATCATTGGTGGATTCAACAGTGAGGTGCAACAGAATTCAGCAGAGATATATGACCCAGAGGTCAACCAATGGAATCTCATCAAAAAATGCTGTTTTAATGTAATGGCCTCTCCTGCACTGCCTAACATGGTTATGAATATGCCATAGGAAGATCCAATGGCATCCCTTGCATGTGCAGTGGCAACAAATATAATCTGATAACCAACAAATGGATACAGATACCTGATATCTATGACCCCCACATTAACTTCAGTACAGAAGTGACTGACGACATGACCTTCGCTGTCGGCAGACACCAAAATGTGACCACCATGAACATCCCGGAATGTTGTGATGAAAAGTCAAATAAATAGATTGATACAAGAGATATAAATATATGTATATCAGGTCTGTGGGCCTGTTACCATGGGTTTGAACGTATGTGATTAAATTGAATATAACAAGGACAGATAAACAGGGGAGAAGAGGCATGAGTTGCTGACCCTGGAAAGTAATTTGCAGAGTACAAATTAATGATACATTATAGTAACTTGTAGTTACAATTCTTAAGAATCCATATACCAATCCAAAACTTGTCTACAATCACTCAATCACGTGACGATACTTTTGAACCTCGTAACATGCAAGTCCTTAATAAATTCCTAAGAAGTTTTACTTTGTAATACTGCAGTCTAGACAGGTATTATATAAGGATAACAACAGAATTTCTGAGAGTGTAAAAAATGAATGCGGAATAAATAGCCACTGGGAAAACTTAGGGAGACAAGGTACACAAAACACAGTACAGCTTAAAGCTCAGCGTAAAATCTCTTTTGAAACCAAATTAACAAAAAATTATAGTTTACAAAAGTATGAGTTATAGAAAATCGTATACTTACAGTCAAGTCTTTCCACACGCTGGTATGAGCAAAGAGCAACCTCTTCATTCAGAGTTCCAGAATCACTATACCATCCAAGGTTAATGTTAGAGAAACTTGCTAGTTCTTTTGAATCTCGAGATGAACTGCGTTGGTGTTTCTTACGGCGAAAAAAACTACGTCTTGCAGATGTGGAGCCACGCCTTGCATCAGCCTCCAAGTCACCTAAACTGCGGCGCAAAAGTAACTCTTCTTCCACCCTAGCAATAACAATAATAAGCAACATCATTATTATCCATTTCTATTTTCATCACGATAGCATATCTTATGTCTTTATGTTTCTATCCAAGCATGAATGTCTACTTTAATACAGGGGATAGACAAAAATATGGAAACACCCAACAAAAAAACATTACCATGACTAATATGGTGTAGGACAAACTCTGGCTTGCAGAACTGCTTGCAGTCTCCTTGGAATGGATAAATAGAGGTCCTACATGATTTGCAAGGGAATCTTGTACCATTCTTCCTGCAAAACATTGGCGAGTTCTGTTAGCGATGATGGAGGTGGATAGCACGCATGCAGATTGCTCTCCAAAACAGACCATAAAAGCTCAATAATATTGATATCTGGCTATTGTGGGGGCCATGACAGACGTGACACTTCATCTTCATGCTCAGAAAACCAGTCCTGGACGATGTGAGCTGTGTGAACATGGGCACTGTCATCTTGGTAAATGGTATCACCATTGGGGAACAAAGTTTGCACCATGGGATGGACCTGGTCACCCAAAATGGTCACATAGTCATTGGCAGTGACGTGACTTTGAGGGGTAATGATGAGTCTGACAGAATACCACAATATGGCTGCCCATACCATGATCAAACCCCCACCATGTTTCACTCTTGGCAGCAAACAATCTGGATTGTAAGCTTGGGATGGCGTTCTCCAGACATAAACTGAGCCAGAAGTCGAAAACAGTGTGAAGGTGGACTCATCCGACCAAATGACCATCACTGTTCCATAGTCCAGGTTTTATGACTTCGGCACCACACTCTCCTTTTAGTGGCATTTTGATCACTGAGGAGTGGCTTTGGAATTGCAGCTCGTCCAGAAATACCCTGCTTATGGAGTTCCCTTCATACTGTTTTGGTGCTGACAGGCTTTGTGAGTGTGACATTAAGTTCAACAGTCACCTTTCCAGCTGTAGTCTTCTTATTTTTCGTCACAATTCTACGCAATGTTCGTCTGTCTCGATCACTCATCACACATTTTCGTCCAAGCTGGAGTTTATCAGATGCGGTTTTTTCAGTCCTCCTGTATGCGGTCATAATCTTGGATACCGTGCCTCACGAAATACCAAAAACCTCGGCTACCTTGGTTACAGAAGCATCCACCATACGGGCCCCAACAATGTGCCCACATTCGAATTCTGTTACCTCTGACATGATGCACTAAAAACTGCACAGAACACTGTCTTAACAACAAACGAAGCTTGAGACATGTTGCGGAGGTTGTACATATAGTGGTATTGGGCAGGTACGACAGCGTCAGCCACAAACGTTGCTAAAATAAAAAGCACTTCAATTCAGGCATGCATTTCATGAGGTGTTTCCATATTCTTGTCCATCTCCTGTATCTGCATCCACTCTTTACGTATCTTCTACAGAAAGAATTAACTAGCTACCTACAATCAAGATACTTCTCTGGTGCAAGACCTCATATGAGTATAGTTTCAATAACTGAATATTTTCTTAGCTCTCACAGATCATTTATGCTGTTCGATTTATGTACCCCTTCTTGAAACTGGCACAGGTGTCTGGAGATAGGGACTAGCTCTATCGATTGTGAAAAACTGAGCAGGTTTTATCTGAAGACGGAGACAGAATCCAGTCTCCAAAATGCTGTGTTTTGAAAAATAAACAGGACAGTTTTTAGATATAGACAAGATGATGGATAATGTCCAAAAACAAAATATGTGTACCTACAACAAATGCTGCATTTTTTGTTCATCCTAGCTACATGTTTCACCCATTATAAACTCATTAATTTTATTATGCTTAAAATATCAAGTGAGCTATGCAAGTCACCTTGTTCCTCATCATGTACTATCCGTTAACTGCCACTTCATCTGTTTTAGTTCTCAGCATTTATCCATGGACTTCAAAACATTTTGTCAAAATAAGAGCTGTCTATCATCACTTACTTGTACTTGCTAGGTATAATCCCACACTGCTGTCGATGACCATCTTCATCTACCAGCCAGGCCCTCCAATGTCCTGGCACTCCATTGAACATGGTGTTATCAACATAAAGAACGTCATCTTTGCGAAATCGAAGTTGTAATGAATCACCCAGATCACCAACCCGATCAAACATCGTACGTATATAAAAACTGTCTCCTGGTTTATCCTTAACTTCATTATAACCTGAAACAGTAATTTTTCTTTGTAATATGCCTGAGCAATGAGGTTACATCGATTGTACTCTAACCAACCATGCAATCCTGAGCCAGTTCACACCATGATAACCCATCTCAGTAAGAATCAATTTAAAATTATCCTTTCATCTTATTCCAAATAACCACTTTCCAAGGTTTCCTCAATTCCTTACTTCTCAGATCTGAATATTTTCCTAAGAACTGTCCTTTCAGATGTTTTCAATTTATGTCTTTCTCTCAGAGTTTCACATTCCTAATTAACACATTATAAAATAACTGCTTAAATATAAATCTTAATCTTCAGTGTTTGGAAAACAGGCAAATTTTTGCAGAGTTTCTGAAAATAATAATATGTATGTCCTAAATTTATATCTTTAATTTCATCAGTACATGGACAACATATAGTAGCATTTGCAAAAACACTTTTAACTTACTGTGGGCCAAAGAAAAAAATGAATATGACAAAGTACTGATTCATCCCATGAGAATTTAAAATTTGTCTCCTACAACTTCATATCAAATAAATGTCATGATGCTAATTACTTACGGTCCATATTGTACTGTGCAAGTACTGTCACTTTGTCAGCAGGTTTCGCGAGTTCATAGGCTGCCTCCTCAGCAGTAGCATGTCGCAAATCTGTTCCATTGTATTCTAGAATCTGATCACCAGTTCTGAAAATATATCACAAAATTATGAACATCTTAATTATCAGCAGATACACTGAACAGCATATTTACATTTTTTGCACACTGAATATTGCCAGAGATGTTCATTATTCGCCTTATGTCTTACCATAGTTTAAATGGAAGGAAATGGTTTATGGCATGCTTGTGTCCTTTACATGTTTTGAACCAATGGACAGCTTTTCAGTAAACTTGGTATGCCCACCATGATAGCAGATGTCAGCTCATTTTCACTCCATTTAATTCCATACCATTGGCAATACACACACACACACACAGCAAGGTGGGAACTATACTACCACTATCTAATGTAGAGCCATAAACTTTGCATGAAAATAGTCCAAGAATCACTGTAATTAGTGATATAAGATTTGTAGGAATGAAGGTATGAACTTTGTATACAATATTCATCAGTTAAAACATGTTGAAGGTGTGATACTGTAAGATAGCAGAAAGGTAGTAGAAATTGTGCACAGGAGAAGGGCTGGGGGAGGGAGGAAGATGAGGATGACCGAGGAAGGAGCATGCCTGTTAATCAGTACCTTGCACATATTATTCATGTGTTTTGACAGATGGTTAAAACCTCATAAATACTATCTGCAATGTATCTTGAAATAAAATGTTGTACCTCTGTATATGACCTGCTACTAGAGCATTTTTGATACCCATAATATTTATATAGCTTTTTCCTTACCTTAATCCTGAATTGTAAGCTAAAGAATCAGGCTGAACACTATGCACAAAGATTCCTACTGCATTTCCTCCAACCAAACTTATACCAAGATTGCTGCATTTTCTAGTCTCAATGAAGAGAAACCGCTCATCATGAATCGGGGACTTGTTAGGATCATCTGGACTCCTGCAGTTAAAAAAGGCAATTAAAATGACTGTGTTGCTAACAAGAAAAAAAAAAGCTGTACCATAATTATACCCCAATTAAATCATTTTTGAAGTTCAACACAATTTACAACATACATAATCAAACTATATGTCCAGTAGATTAAGATAAGTAGGTGAGTTGTTTACTTGGCTATTTTAAAATTATGTATCAGCTACTTAGTTTATGACATATGGAAGATAAATTTGGAGAGAACCATTTTCTGGAACTATTCCAGCATTTTCCCTAGGGCATCAAGAAATCCTAGAAAGAACTTCTGTCAGTATACACCCTATATCTAAGCAGAAATTTAACATCACAAATATGAAGCAGAACATTACACCATTATGTATGGTTTAGAGTGACTAATTCACTGTCATTTAAAACAAATAGGCACACTAATTTACAAGTGTATTCTTTGCAACTTTAGGTACCAAACTGTTTTGACCACCTTACCACTGTTCACACAGTGCTGATACAAATCAGGTGTTGCAAAGCAAATGTTACCATAGCAATCACTGCAATGTCAGAAACTATTTCCATTTGTACTGCATCGAATATTTCAAATGTCAAGGATTATCTTAAATAAAAGCTGGTCATCTTAATGAGATTTATACTTTGCTAATTGCTTGTACCAAGCTGTTTTGAGAACATTTTTAAAGTCCGAGTTCAACTTCAAGTACAATAGGAGCCATACTGAATAATGAAAAGAAAAAACCTTCATGGTTTTAGTCCACAAACGAACTCTATTGACCGAGCGACCACCGCTTGTCAGCAAAGTTAGTGACAATTTTAGCAGATAGAGTGTGTCGTGTGGTCAGCGCAACGAATCCCCATGGCCGTTAATCTCGGTTTTCTAGACGGGCCGCTATTTCCTTGAAATACCTCCTCAATTATCATCACAAGGTTGAGTGGACCCCGTTCCAGACCCACTACTTCTCAGAAAATGTGGTAGCTCCAGGAATCGAACCCAGACCTCTGGATCTGTAGCCAGGAACTCTCACCACTAGACCACAGAGGCGGTCACTGAATAATGAAAGAAAATAAAATTCACTTGACAATTTTTAGACCAAATAGTCTGGCCTATTGGTAACATTCCAGACTTGTATTCAGGTGCTTGAGTCAGATCTCAGCTGGAACGCTGGCCATCCTGAATGAGTTTTCCATGATTTTCCTCAGATCCTCTGGGCAACAGCCAGAAGAATATCCTGATTAGGGCACTGTTGCTTCTTTCCAAATCCTTTCTAACTCATCATTCCTTAATCATACCATCTGACTACAGTCTCAATACTTACAGCACTCTTAAAAAAATGATAATTTTTAGGGTGGACCATAAAATTCCATATTTCACCAAAGTATGTTGGCAGTTTCAGAAATGGAACATAGAACTTGCCATAATACCCTAAACATGAATTTATTTTGTGCAAATTTGTAAAGAATGCACAAGGTTTTCAAGTGATGAAGAATTCCATGTAACATGGATTTATGGAATATACAATAAATGAATGAATGAATGAATGAATGAATGAACGAATGAATATAGACCTCCCTTTGCCTGGACCTTTCATAACATCTCATTACCTCACAGTAGCATTCTGTCTTTGGAGAGTGGAGACAGCTTGTGCTATTTGGCTGCGAGTGAGAGTTCCATGTGAAGACTGCGGTACCCCTCGCAGACTTGATATGGACGAGGGGGACAGTTTCTCAAGTTGGAGAGGTGCTGGTCTGTGAGGCGTTTTAGGTGAGTTGCACGGAGTGGGAGATCCAGACCTGGAGGGGCCTCCTTCACTACTTGAACTCACAGAACCTTCCAATTCATGATACTCTAAAATAAATTAAAATGAGGATATATACAAATATTCTGCAATTATAAAATAATCCATTAACACAAACTTTTCCATATATGTGGCTTTGAAGTAAACCAAACTCTTTTTCTGAATTCACTAAACACTGAAACTTCTGTACCAAGAGCATAAAGTTCAGCAACAACAAAAAACCACAGCTGCTAGTGGCTGACACTAAGCCAAGCTGTAACCTTTACAATGTTATATCTGCAGAAACTGAGGAAATGGATAAGTGTGAAATAATATTGAACAGCTTAAGATGGTGGACTTGGTGACCAGAAAATTTATTATTTAAGCAGATCACAGGTCCATTATCAGAATTATATTGGCCAGTCAAGAGCACTGAAAGTAAAGAAGTTAAAAAAAAGACCCAATTATCACAAATTCTTCAGTATGCAGACTGGGATTATACAAAACAGTAACATAATATTTCACACGATTGAAAGTTCCATAGCATGCTGATCAAGCCTTAAACTATACTGAAAGTTTACTGCATCATATAGGAAAATCTTTCACTTACTGTCAGGGCTGTACTGCACCAACATAGTTATGGAGTTTCCACACTGTCGCAGTACGTTAGCTGCCAGCTGATATGTTGCACTACGCATGTTAATGCCACAAACCTCAAGGAGCTGATCTCCAACCTGTTTATTTTCAGCACATTTTAATTCAACTGAGAGCTTCCAAAGCTAATATAAATATAGTACAAATATTTCATACCCAAAAATATAAAAGGGCTATTCAGAAAGTAACCTCCAGTGAACTGTTAACAAAACAATGAGGAAAACAAATTTATTTTATACAAAAAAAAAATATGTATATACTTAAAACTACTCCTCAATGTAATCACCACCAGAACTGAGGCACTTGTCATATCGGGAAATAAGTTTTGTATGCCTGTGTCAAAGAAGTCTGCCACCTATGAGCTCACCCACGTTTTGACACCTTCTATCAACATCTCATTATTGTAGAAGCACTGTGATCCCAACTAGTCCTCCAGATAGGTAAACTGGTGGTACTAGCTTGGAGCAAGACCAGGGCTGTAAGGAGGGTGGTCAAACAACTCTCAGCAGAAATGCTCCAGCAGTGCTCGAGTGCAAGCAGCTGTATGCAGATGCGCAATGTCATGGAGGAGCTCTACATCAGAAGTCAGCATTCCACACCTTTCATTCTGAATAGCCATATGCACTTTTTTAGTGTTTTGCAATACACTTCTGAGGTTACTGTGGTCCCCTGCTGCATGAATTCCACCATCAGCACTCCTTTCCCATCCAGTCCCAGAAAACAGTTGCTATCAGCTATCTGGCATACGGACAATGTTTGTTTAAACTTTTTCAGCTTGTTTGGTGAATGTGTGTGCTTCCACTGCTTTGACTGCTACCTGATTTCAACATTCACAAATGAAACCCAAGTTTCATCACCTGTTACTCTTATGATGTGACTGAGAAATTCATAGCTGTCTTTGTGGTATCGCTGAAAAAAAGTCAAAGCTGAAGCCATTTTTTGCATTTTGTGTGCACCTGTAAGAATTTTTGGAACCCATCTAGTGTAGAACTTGTGATAGCCTAATAATCTCTTAGAGAACACATACATGTGAAACTTCATCCATGATATGTATATACTGGACGTCTTGTAATGCACTCAATTTCACCTGTTATTCACGACATGTTTCGGCAACATAGTGCCATCATCAGGTGCCCTAATTACGCTAATCTATTGCATTGCTTGCCTTTATATGTCTTTATAAAAGTATTTAAAAAGTGCGTATTTGTCAACTATAATAAATTTACACACACTAAATTTATTATAGTTGACAAATACACACTTTTAAAATACTTTTATAAAGACATATAAAGGCAAGCAATGCAACAGATTAGCGTAATTAGGGCACCTGATGATGGCACTATGTTGCCGAAACATGTCGTGAAGTAACAGGTGAAACTGAGTGCACTACAAGACGGCCACTGCATACATATCATGGATGAAAATCAGTGCAACAGGACGCTAAAATACAACACGTGAAACTTGTTGAAATTCACATGAAAGTCCTGAAATTGTGAAGCACCATCATTCACACATTTTTTGGTCAACATTTTGAACATCATCATCACTCACTACAGATGGATACCTGCTTCACTCTGCATAATGAAAATTTATTCACCCATCTCTGAACATTCTACACCACTGTCTTATAGTTCCTTACTCGTTACATTTTGGTGGTAAAAAGCTCATAATTCACAATAGATTTCCACACCACTCATGTTTTTAGCATGAAGAAAGAGGATGGCGGAATACATTTTGCAGCTGGTGGGATTATCAATCACAGGACATATCATAACACACTCTGTAGAGACAAGGCGGAATACATTTTGCAGCTGGTGGGATTATCAATCACAGGACATATCATAACACACTCTGTAGAGACAAGAACAAACATTAGCTGACAAGTCATGTAATGGTTTACAGGGCAACGAGTTATGCGATGCTACCTCATGTGTGCAACCTCTCCCCACTCCTACATTAGCTGCCCAAAACAAACAAAGGTTACTCTCCGAATAGCCCTTGTATATGCATGTACAAAATCAGTTATACCAAGTACAAACAAATTTAACATGATATGTATATATAAAGGGGTCGAAAAAATTATACATATTTTAATAGAAGTTATCTATGAACTATATTATATTTAAGCATCCTGTTGCACTGTACACTTTTATATGTAATAATACAAATGCCGTCATGAAGGCAACAATTTATTTGGTTGTAGTTCTTTGTCTTTTCTTCCTCTACGCTACATGTTTCGGCCGTAACTGGCCATCATCAGGTGTATTTTTCACTATGTAGCTGTCACACTGCACACAATCCAAAATCTAAAACACCAGCCTGTCAGTTTTGTTTAAAATCATGCTAACATATGCTTGTCAATTTGATTTTTGAATTCCAGTTTAAAATTTAAAATTCAAAATTTAAAGTTTTAAATCACAGGGATACCTGCTCTGTGTCTACATGTGCTGACACAGAATAATACATGAACGGTGTTGAAAACAAGAAATATTAAGACAAATGCCGTAGTATGGAAGAGTATATTACTAAGAAATATCTACCAGCAATTTACTCTAACACAACATGACTACAGATGTTATCACTTTCTTTCCTTTCATTATCCAGTCCATGCTCACCTGCAGGCCAACTTGTGAAGCCAGACTGTGCTCACTCACTGTTGAAACAAACACTCCCCCACTCTCCAAACAAGAGATCTGGATGCCCAATGGCTCAACTGATTTATCTATGTGCACCCGGCGCAACTCGCCAGGCGATGGTCTGTAAGGCAAAAAAGGAGGATTAGAGTAAAACTGCTGCAGAAATAAGTCACCACCATCATCATATCCTCCTCCTCCTCTTAGATCCTGAATTCTCTTACCCTACGACTGCCAATCATTCCACTTTATAACTTCAAATTCCTTCCTACATTATTACTCCTTGTAATCACAAGTGATCTTGATTTGCCCCTTAAACATTTAACTCACATAGGTGTCCAGCGAATTGGTTTTGGTCATCTGTGTTTCTCACACTTTCTATATGGCCATATCACAACAAAATTCCATGCATTCATTCATTCATCCATCCATAATCTGTCAGAAGACAGGTCCACAGTCTCTTCCAGAACAGTTCCTCCACTTAATGCAATCTAGAACGTTCTCCTTCAAATGAGAATATCCTCTTCTGTCCCCAAGGTCATCCAGCATCTTCTTACGTCTTCTTCGTCTTCTGGTCACTTCTATCCACCCCTCTATCTTCACATACATGGTTCTCTGTTTTTGGAAAGAGACTATCCAGGAAAAGTGATAATGTGGTAGTTTTCCCATTTGCTTTCCACATCGCAGTACAACAGCCGTTCAAACCACTCTGGTCATGCCTGTGGCTATACGAACTTGAACCATCTCCAGCATCATTTGCTCTGTGCTTCAAGTCGCTGCTGATTACCCTACTGATATTCAAGCTTGCTTAAACTTTCTTCTGATATCCTATTTAAACAAAATTATCTTATCTATTATGAAAACAAAATATATAGAACTCTGGCTATACATTATATATTCAAGTTCATACTTAAATCATTCAGTCGGATGTTGGCAATATATATAGGTGTATCACCAGTCTGGAACTACAGGTACTATGTCTTCTCTTTGTTGCAGTCATGAGGTATCAATGGAATGGCCACCAAAATCCTCATGATCTTGCCGTGTGGTTTCAATTACACAATGAAATTATCTGTGCAACTAACTTTAACCCATACTTATATTTTATATTTATTTATATTTTACTTATATTTTTACACACAAGTTTTAATCTTCAAAGAATGGTTTTCAGTGCCTTCTTGATAATGAGAAATTTTTTGAGGGTTACTGGCAATCAACTGATTATCTGATTATTCATTTTTATAGAATTCTGCTCTCTTATTTCTGACCATGATTCACACATCACAGATATTTTTGAATGATTATAGTAAAAATAAGGGAGTAAGATTCTAATAAAGTGAATAATAAGGTGATTACTTCATTGTTAATAATCTAAACAACACTTCTCACAACCAAGAAGGCTCTAAAGAAAGGAAATATGAAAGTAAATGAGCACACTCATGTGCTGTATGGGACAAAGGCTTGATGGACAAATAAAAAATCTCACTGTATCATCCTGACCTTACACATTTCAAATTTTACCTGTGGGGCATCTGAAAGTTAAGGTATATGTTATGAAAGCACACAATGTCAGGCATCTTTAAGAGTAAATTCTTACAGCGTGCAGTAAGATTACACCATGAACAATTCTCCAGTACTGGCAAAAATGTTTGTGTATATCCATTGGCATGAATTAGGGAAGTAATGAGCATATTTTATATTACAGCTGTGTTAAAACTCTAACACTGCCAATGGTTTCCAAGTTATGTAACATTCTAATATATTAAATTACTGTACCTGATTTCTGGGAATGAACTTCAGTGAAGAGATATTGTACAAAAGAGTAGACTACAGAATACTGGAACTGGTATGTTACACTCACTTCTGTGAAAAGCAGTAGTCTGGTACAGAATTGCGTTTGTTTTCCCTGTGTCCAGGACTTAGCACTTCCACATGAAATGTTGGCATTGGGCTCCCTCGATCTGATGTCCTCTCAATGCTCCCTGTGGATATTTTACCAGTGCTACTCTTACTGGTCACACTTGGGTTGGAGGGGATTCTAACGGAAAAGAAAAACACCAACAATATTTCAATGATACAGAAACAAAACTCACACAAACACCAAATTTACATATATTTATGATCTTCCACTACTCAAAATTTAAATTCAACATGGCGAACAAGTAAAGGTCTGTTGCACCGAGATAAACAGGGCTACAAAACTGTGATGTTGCAAGATCTTCCATTTGAATTTGCCATGTATGGCAATGCTAAAAACAGCAGTGGTTTCCTACAAGTTGGCAACACTGTGCACAGCTCTATTATTCTGTATACTTTGCTTCATATATTTAAAAATCCTTACAAACTAAATATGTCTTTCATTTATGCAAATTCTGATAATCAGGTCCTCAATCTTCAAATTAAAAAAGAAGTACAATATCATTAAAACAAAAACAACAATCACAAGTACTTCATTTTTACAAAACATTATACTAAGACATGAGAACAAGGAGACAGCAGAAGTACCAAAGACTAAAGTATGCTTACTGCTTTAACTCTCATAATTTGAAAATCCTTACTACCACACAACTTACAGCCACCTGCCATCACATCTGAATAGCAAAATATCCTCACATATTCATCTGTTACTATTTTCCTGTTTGTTTTGTAAATGATTTAACATGCCAGTTCAACAGCAATTATTACATAGTACTGAAAGAGAAATGACAGAATGCCTATAAATGGGATACTGGGAAGAATTTGATAGATGTTATCATGGCCTGTTTATAAGTATTTTAGATTTGTTAACATTTCCCTCGGTTCATCCAGGCAAATCCCGGAACAGTACCATAAAAAAAAGAGCCATTACCAGCAACATATCCCTTACAATTCATGGTCACCTTTACCACTATCAACTGACACCACATAATATCTATGGTAGATATACTGTCATAATTTCCCATACACATTTTAATTCATTAAATGGAAATGAGTCTGAGGAAATAAATGGTGTGAATAAAAGTATATCAGAAGTTATGTGAATTAGGATGCCTGAAGATTAGAAAACATGTTCAATAGGAGCTCTGGTTTTCAAATCTGTTAACTGAAGTATTCTGGGCAGAAAATATGGCAAATAACATTATACCATACTGCAGCATCCTCTTGCAATGTGTATTCTAAATTAACACTTACACTTCACACCATTACTGTGAACTTCACCAGTGTATTAAAATTCACACTTCAAAAGCATTCATCTCTTCCTATTATTCAAACACTACATGTTTCAGCCAAAATGGCCATCATTAGGTGTACAAACTGTATTTCCCCACTGCTACATTTAATAAGACGTATTAAAGATAAGCAGCGACACACACAGAGAGAGCCTACACAGAACAATACCTGAACAGGGATAAAACAAGAAGTAGCCGCTGCAGCACTATAGACATAGGGTGTGTACCCCGAGAAAATTTTAATTTTTAAAAATTTGGAAAAAGAAAAAGAACAGAAAATTTATAGACACTTTAATTTGAATTGAAGTTTTAAAAAAGTGCCAATTTTAGAAATCAAATTGATGCGTGTAGGTTAACAAAGATTTTATACATACATACACACAATTGGAAAGACTGATGATTTTAAATTTTAAACTACAGGCAGTGTAGCAGCTACGTAAGAATACACACCTGATGATGGCCATTTAGGGCCGAAACATGTAGTGTGGAGGAAGGGAAGAAGAAAGAACTACAATTAAATTGTTGCACTTAAGACGAAGTTCGTCTCCTATATTTCCTCTATAACTTGCACACCTAATGATAGCCAGTTGGGCTGAAACATATACTATTCAAATAATAGGAAGAGACGAATGCTTTAACATATCAATGAAGTTCCTCAGGAATGATGAGAAGTGTGACTGCAAACTGAAAATAACACCTGAAAATTCTTCACATAAAGGCACTGGTTTTTTACTCTTTATGCAGATAAGCCCATCTCACAGTTCTAACTAACTGATTGCAGAACTAAGTCCAGTCCATTTCCTGGACTACTTTATTTTCATGCCTTATTATGGCTGTTTAACACTTTTCCTCCCCCACAGACTAAATACAAGTTATATGAGAAAATTCTGAATATACAGTATGACTATTTCTTCCATGGCTCACTGATATGTAAATCACTGGAGTCTAAAGTGGCAGCAAAATAAATTACATATCCAATAGAAGAGGCTTAAAGTCATCTATGGCAGTTAAATCTAACTATAAACATTTAATTATAGCCAAAAGTGTTACCATGTACTGAAACAGTGACAAATGGAACACTGCCAGCAGCTGGATCCCATGGTCACACATTCACAAAATAAAACTCTTCCTTCATTTTGATGGGAAAAATAGATTCAAGCTACCATCAATACTGTCATTAACTTCAGTCAAAATAGTATATAAATATGTACTCAAACAATGTTATAGTTTTGAACTGTAGAGAAATTGAGCTATACAATATGTTGTGATGTACTGTGTGTTTGCCTGATTCTTCAAGTTCACACTGGCTATTTTAAAAGTAAGAACATGCAGCTGATACATAACAATGGCCTTCACAGAGCTCGTGAGTCAATATTTATCATTTGACATTGGCCAGTCAGCCAATGAATTTCCTTGCATCTGGTTAACATGTGACAATTATGAAAGTAAATATTAAAGCATTGCAGCTGTTCTTAGAAGTACAGGATAATTTGATAGCTAATGTTCCAGCTAAGAACAATAAACTTTCCCATTTACACTAGTCAATTAATGAAATGATGGCCAATAAACATAGTTTGTATGTATTTTCCCTTTCCAGACAGAACCTCAGGCACTTATCACATTGAACGACTCATTGAGATGGGGATCACAGAGAGTGGGACAAAAGCAACAACAAATATGCTATCTCAAAATATTACTGTGTGGCATACTGTATAATACTGCCTCCTTCTTTCACAATAAATACTATAGTTATCACATGTGCTTATATTTCTAGAAAGAAATGACGTCCCAGCACATGGGTGAACCAAGTGGGGGAGGGGAGAGAAGTATTTCTTAAGCCCTCTGACAAATAATTTACAAAAAGTAGGAACTCAGAACAAAGTAAGAAAGTTTTTACCACTATGTTTTCCAAGAAGAAACTGAGCCGCTGGTACGACATCCTGCTGTGTTTGGCAGAAAGATTCTTCAACTTCACACTGTATCAATTCTGGGTTTACTGGGCATCCTGACTGTACTTTCCCAACCAAGATTTTAAATTGATTCCATAAAATTCAAACCTACTTATGGTCTTGGACACATTTATGCACATGCATGTATAAGCAAATGTTTCTATTTAACTACAACCTGGTAAGATAAAAGCAAATTTCAAACTTCCATACCTCATTAGCAGAGCTAGGTTACTTTATTATTTATAAATAACAAAACCTTTCTAGTGCCTCGGCATTTTACTAGAAAATATATCACACATAAAGTAATTTCATAATTTCATACTTGCCAGCCATGATTTTTACTATTTTTTTGGCCTCTTTATTATGCAGGCAAATTAAAATACAGTCATAATTCAGACTAATGACTTAATGTGTTGCAAGTCAAATTTGTTATAACATGGGACATACGGGGTTATATTTCTGGAGCTCAAGGCTCTGGCCCTTTTTCAATATTTTACCCCATATCACACTGTAAATAATTCCATGGTTTTCATTACAAAATCAAAAGGTTGCCCAGTGCCATGAAGACATAAGGTTAAGTGGAGATACACCATTTTTTATCTCAGCACTAGATGGAGTGAATGGTCAGTTTCACGTCCCAGCTGCTTTACCTCCAAGGAAATGGCACCCCGTACCCACCAGACAGGAGGCTGGGTGGGCCCCAGAGCTGGTCTGAATGCTGTGGAGAAGAGAAAAATCTTGCCCTTGATGGGAATTGAACCCTGGCTGTCAAGCTCATAGCCTGTCACTGTACAAATTGAGCTACCTCAACTCCAACAAAACAAAAAAGTATTCAAAATAAAACATTAATTACTTATATTAAAGTTAATTTATATTTTACTATGGATCATTAAGAATTGCAATTTAAGCTATCACAGCATTTACTAATTTTATAAACAAAAGAACTCACATTTAATAAAAATACAACATATCCAGCACCAGGTCAAATTCACAGAGGGAAACTCTGGTTATGGAAGATTTTGGAAGGAATGGATGAGGATGCAGTAAGAGTGGTGAGTGGGTCAGTCTTAGGCTTTCTAAAGAAGCAGTCTAACATGAACTGGATTGCTGGCCTTTTTGTTTCCTTGTGGATCACCTTATAACCAACGAGATCTGTTAGAACTCTATTGAATCTTAATGGAACCATAAGTCCAGAAAGTCATAGGTAAAGGTAACACTGTACTGCATTCAAATATAAAAAAGTTACATATATTTTATCTTACCAGGAATTCTTCTCTATTCATTCTATGATGGATGCATAATTCATGACATAAGCATCATTAATACAATGCAGCATGATTCATACTTGTGCAAACACCACTAAGCTACTATATTTCTCTACAAAGTGCAATCTCTTCTCTTAAATTTCATCAATCTACATTGAAATCTGGGTATTTACTCACCAGCTGAAACACTATAATAGACAGCACAAAATATGCAGATGTGCTGGCATCTAACGACAACAAGAACTTCACTATTCTAAGTATTTTCATCTACACTTTGTCTTTTCAGTCAACAATGGTCCTCAAATGTAGAATTCTATTAAGAACCTTATCTACAATGAAAAACTTATACTCAAAAGCAGTAAAACCTCTATATTTGAACAAGTTTATCAAAACTTCTAGGAAACAGAGGTACAGGTGCGAAACAACATAACGTACTGTGGAAGCATCTCTATCTCACAGATAAATTTCCAACAATTTGGTGTTCAAGTCTGCTGTCTTCCAATGAAGCACCAAATGCAGATTTTGCTGTAATATAGTCTATAACAGCGATTCTCAAATGCTGCAACCATGGCCATATGCAGTCATCAGTTATCAGCAAGACTAGCAAGTATGTTTCTGTTGAAAATATTTTTCTGCTCCTGACATGAATTTTCTTCACATCTTCTGTAAATTCAATATTTTTAGGTGGATGCTGCGGGTCTATGCTACACGGCTGCAGCCCACCATTTTCATTTCTTGAAAAATAAGTACCACAATGAACTGAAGGTCAAAAATCTTTTTCAGTCAGTTGTGGAAGAACATCCTGTGAGCATGTATGTATTTAGTAAGCTGCAGTAACCACAATTTCCTCAAACTTTGCTGTAAACTGTAAGTTAATAACAATCTTCCTTATAGGATTTGTTTTATATACAAGAAGTTACATGTTTAAGTTTCATAACTCTTTCTAACTTTCAAATGAGACCATAAGAAATATTTGCTTGAGAACCACTGGTCTAGAGCCACTCCACAATAACTCCCATAAATAATAATTACCACATGGAGGTTTTACTGCATGTCTTTTGAACAAAATGTGGAATGTCCTTCAGTCCAATTTTTTGTGCAGTGTATGGTGTGTGTGTGTGTTCTGTGTATAGTTAATGTGCCGGTCAACATAAATGTGAAAACAAGCATGGAAACATGATTGTTTCTTTACATTAATTAAAAGGTATATGATTCACCTTCACAATATGTTAAAATCATCCACTTGTTGAGTACTTGTAATTTCACTATAGGATCCTGCAGACTGGCAACTTAGTGGCCTGCCGGCAGATAGAAAATTTATCCACAAATAATATCATTACTGTTAAGTACTGTACTAATTAATCTTGGTGAAATTTTATTCTATAAACCGAAACATATAAGCAAATACAAAAAGTTGTAATACTGGATATACTGCAGACTTCTAGTAAAAGAAATTTTTAAAAATGGGCCAAATAACTCTATACTTGGAGAATGACAGAAAAAAGACACTCAGCTGCTCCCATCTCTAAATATATTTCCTAAATATATGTTCATATACATATAAAACTATACACTAAGGTAATGAATGCACGCCTTGGCACGCTAATGAAGACCTCCTATTAGAAGACCAATCTGGTCTTAGAAAGGGATGTTTCTGTAGACATTTTCAGCTTAAATCAAAGTACTGAATACTGTATTATATACATATATATATTATATATATATATATATATTGTAATAACAAGTAACTTTCAAAACCTCACCTGATACGCTGATTTTCTTTTTTGCGGGGAAATGTTCCCCCTTCATAGCTGTGATAACCAACAGAGAGGATCTCCTCATTACCACGATAACCAGGATGAGAATGAGCTGGTAACATGGGCCGTGGTTTGTGATGATAGTGAAGATCAACTGAGGGGGAGTGTGAGTGATGAAAGTTCTATAAGAAAATTACACTACAATTAATACTCAGGCCAAACAGCACACTGACCAAAATAATAAAAATCAAAAAAGTAAATGGAAAACCCCAGTAAAACCTGGTTATAACAGGATTAACAAGAAAGTTTCTATGGTACACATACACATCCTCCAATAGCAGGATGGAAACAACATTTTTTCTTAACACATTGCGGACCGGAGGGGCCATATGGCCCTCTATGTTTCCAAGCGTTGCGGACCGGGCGGGCCATATGGCCCTCTACGGTCACGTTATGTTGCAAAACGCTATATATCGCTGTGTGGCTTCGTTGAATCGTAACTACTGCGTAGATGACCTCGGGAATGATTGCTGCCTTATCTAGTAACTCGACCAGAGTCATTTCCTGTCACAACCTAAACAAAATTGACTTTGTTCTAATCCAAGCTTGCACGTATCAACCACGCAGCTACCAGTTCAACATGGCTCAGAGACGAAAGCATTTGCGATCTTTCGGAGGACAGGAAATATTAGATATGTTCTCCGATGAGCTATCAGATTTGCCAACTGCTTCATCTTCTGATAGCGAGGCCATTATCAGTGACAGTGACCGTGACGGGGGCCACAGGGCTGCCCAAAGTGTTTCAAGTGAAAGTGAGAGCTCCCTTGAAAGTGCGAGTGTCGGGACAGCAATACCTACTTTCAAGGAAAGTACGTATTTGTGGTACAATTAGGGTGAACAGAGGCCTCCCTCCAGATCTGAAAGAGGAATGTAAACGCCTGAAACGTGGCGACACCGCATTCAGGAGGAAGGAGGACATTCTTCTTCAGTCCTGGAGGGATACTCGCGTTGTGAATATGGTTTCCACTATTCACAATTCGAGCATGGTCGATGTTCAAAGACGACACGGGCAAGTAAAGAAGCCTCTTTGTATTTCCGAGTATAATATGTTCATGAAAGGAGTTGATAGGGCCGACCAGTTCTTGGCCTATTATTCCCTACCTAGGAAAACAGTAAAATGGACGAAGAAAGTTGCACTGTGGCTTACAAACTGTGCAATTTTCAATTCATTTACAGTTTTCAAAAAGGTGAACAGAAATTCTACTCTGAAATACAAAGCATTTCTGTTGAAACCGGCAAAAGCTTGGGCTACTGACGTCACGGTGGCGGCAGTACCTGCGTCAGACACAGACGTAGTGCAGCGGGGGCATCTGTTCGCACCCACCAGAGGCCTCAAGTAGACCCCCCTGGCCGACTCTCGGGTGATATGCGGAAACATATTCTCGTGAAAATTGTGAAGAGTGAATATTGCAAGAAGAAACACCCTTCTAGGCAGTGCCGTGTGTGTGCAGAGCAAAAGAAGAAGAGTAGAACTGCGTAAATGTGCAACTTCTGCATAATGCCTCTTCACAAAGGGGAATGATTCCAGAGATATCACATGCGCAAGCACTTCTAGCAGCTCTGGTAAGTGTTCTCAAAAAATTTCAGTTCATAAAATTAATTAGGAGATTTTATATTAATTTTTAAAATGAACAGTGCACAAGTTAGGGTAGTAGGTTTAAAAACGTCGGCCCCCAGGGTCATTTAAATGTTTAAACCACCGGTCCGCAATGTGTTAATATTCTTTACCTTGGAACCATTGATCATATATATAAATATTTCAATGTCAGAGTTCTTATAAATGATAACAACAATAAGAATTTGTAATATACTGTATATACAAGTGACTTGACCAGAATTCAAATATATGACCAACTGAGCACAAGTCCACACATTAACCTGTGACTTATACTGCACTGAACAGTTTGTCATATACTCATATTATCTATGTATGATAATAAAATGTCTATGTATCTACAGCCCATCAACAATGTAACAATTGTTTATTCACCATTTAACACTTAACACAACATGTTTTGGCCACAGATGGTCATCTTCAGGTGTCTTAATGCTTGCAAACTGTTACAATGCTCTGTTGTGCGCTAAAACCGTGTGTTGCAGTCCACATAAAAATAACATAAATAATTAATTATGTTATTTTTATGTGGACTGCAACACGTGGTTTTAGTGCACAACAGAGCACTGTAACAGTTTGCAAGCATTTAGACACCTGAAGATGGCCATCTGTGGCTGAAACATGTTGTGTTAAGTGTTAAATGGTGAATAAACAATCACTGCATTGTTGATGGACTGTAGATACATAGACGTTTAATTAAAGATTGCAACAGGATGATGAAATACAGAATAGTGTATGATAATAATGAAACAAGATTTGTAGTAGGTACCCTGCAAGTCTGCACAACAGGATAGGTGGCCTTATGAGCTCTTATTCAAATTTCATTCAATCTAGCAAATTTCTGGTAAAATGGATATGATAACCTGATGTTCTACATTTACTGGTAACACATGAGAGCAACTACTGATCCTAATCCTACCTTTCGATAAGGTTCTTGTATTATTTAAATGAACTACTCACTCCATGGAGTCTGGTCCTTCTTGAGAAGTCAAGAGCCACTCCGCTTTTCAAGAAAGTCCCAGTATTTTATGGAATGTGAAGGTTAATTAAGATGTTTAGAAGAGCCGTAACTAACTTCATGGAGCTGAGCCCTTCTTTAGGAGCTGCCAATTGTGCAGCTACTCAAGAACTTTCCAACATTTATGGAACCCAAGAGTTCATTACCATGCACACAAAAGCCCTCCACTGGTCCCTATCCTGAGCCAGATCAATCCAGTCCATATCATCCCACCGCCATCTCTCTAAGATCAATTTCAATTTTAACCCCCCACCTACCTCTAAGTCTTATTAGTAGTACAAGTATCTTCCCTCTGGCCTTCCCAACAAAATCCTATATGCATTCCTCAGCTCTCCCATGTATGCCTGCCCAGTTCATCCTCCTTGATTTGATCATTCTAGTTCTGGTGAAGAGTACAAGTAGTGAAATTCCTCATTATGCAATTTTCTCCAACCTCCTAGAAATTCATTCTTTTTGGGTCAAATATTCTAATCAGCACCTGTTCTCATACACCCTCAGTTCTATAACAGCAGATGAGAAGGCAAAAAGTTCTATACATGTAGAATATTAAAACAAATAAATTATGTAGTTGGTAGTTGTTGTCCCCTTTGTAATGGAGCAATGGATTCAACAGATAAACATACAATTCTCTATATTACAAACAAGGGAAAACTGTTATTGCAATGGAAGTTACAGTGTGGTACAGTATCCAGGCAATATGCTACAGGCTGGAAGGTTGCAGGTTCAATTCCTGATGTCACTAAATTTTTCAGTTGATTGAACCCTTCCAGCCCTACTATGGCCCTGGGGCCAACTCAACCTCTAACAGAAATGAGTACCAGCAATCTTCCAGAGGGTAAATGTGCAGCCAGCGGCCTCCGTAGTCTAGAGGTAACGTTCCCACCTCATGACTCGTAGTATGTGGGTTCAAATACCCGGCGGAGGTTGTTGAATTTTTAAGGGCAGAAAAATTCAGGGAACAAGTCCTCTGGGAGGGACTTTTAAGCCATGGGGCCCATGTCGTAGCTTTACGGCACGTAAAAGAACCTCATATCTCCAAAGGAGGTCACTGAGCCAAATTAATGGACATTTCCCGCCCAACAGCAGTCTCTAATACCTCTGGTAGATGGGGGAAGCATTATAGATACCTCTCAGCTAGTAGAGCCGGTCTTGCTGGCTGGGCAGGACTGATGTTAAGCACCAGTATCGGTAGGATATAGAGACTGGTAGAAATCATAGAGGGAAGCACAATGGACCAATACAGGTCTCATTACATGGGGAAACCCACCCTCTCCAATAACTAACTAACTAAATGTGCAGCCAGTGCAAAAGGCTGACAACCTCACCACCATCTGTGAGCAGATTGTCTAGAAAATGTACAAGCCTTGACGTCTCACAACCCTATAGGCCTCCATGGCCTGTTACAGGGATAGATTTATCTTTTTTCACAGCAAAAAGAAAATTTGCAAGATACATCAAACTTGGGAGAGTCCTGCTTAAAAATTCCATTTACAAGAATTTAATATTAAGGTATGTTCAAAATTTGATGCTTCTCTGAAACATAACCCAATTCTCAACTGCTACATTTTTTTAAAACAAATGAACTGACAAAACACTTTGAAGTCCAGTGCTCACATTTCCCATATCTTTGCGTTCCAAGTACCATTCAACAACGGAATGCAAGGGGCTGAAATTTCAGTTCATACTTTAGTTAGTAATACTAGAGGACTTCTAACATTTTCCAATGGAACAATGGCAAGTGTACCAGACATTAAGGTTATTCATTTACGGATGGTTACTGTACCCTTCTGTACCCTGTGATTAGCTTTAAATGAAATATCATTCAACATATGTGTTTTGTATCCCACATTATATCCAGGTTTTACTACTTTGAATTTCAAGCTCTGGGGTATTACACAGAAACGCACCTGTGGAGTCGGGCTGTATGGTGGTTCAAAGCAGTAGGATCTTGAGTCCGGTAAGCCAATGGACTCTCCACTCTGGGAGGATGGAAGGTGTGTTGGGGAAGGGTACCGTGCTGGCAAAGCAGTGGTCATTGAATCCGAATGTGGATGTGGGTGAGGGTGTGCTAAGTGAAATGGAGCGAAGGGATAGTGGGGCAGTGACCTCACCAAGGATGGATGTACGGTGGCAGGAACTCCGTACAGCTGCGAGTGGATACGGCTGTGTGAAGGCAGTGATGGCATCAGTGATTCCATTGGACTGATGTTGCTCTCACTGTCACTAGGGGGATATTTGCTGCTTTTCTTCTTTGCATAGTACTCCAGCACCTCCTTTCCAATGTTCCCAGACTTGACAGAAAAGTCAATACTAGCATCAGAAGGTGCAAGGACACTCAACCTGTCCCGTTCCCTGTCCCTATTAAACTCAGTGTTAGATTTGTTCTCACACATTAGGTCCTTGAATGGAGTTGGAGTGAAAGATTTCTGAATACAAAGCAACCCTCCTGATTTGTTGAAATGCATAACGGAATTTGAATCCTGAGCTTTGTATGCTGCAGAGCATGACACTGCCCGATCATGAGCTATATTAATAGGCCGGGAAGGTTGTTCTGAACTGCCACCAGAACAGTAATGAACTGTGTCAGGAGGGTACTTTGGAGGGTTATTTATCAATTCAGAAAGAGGTAACCTCTCCTTGTGTTTTCTAGGATGCAAGATGGTGCCTGTACCATGCTCTATCACAGGGCCATTACGAGCTTTTGGCCAAGTACCACCATTTTTTTCCAGTTCTTTCCCCCGCCTCCTACTACGTTTGAGACCACTTCCACTGGTTTTGCGATGATAGCTTTCAATCACAGAGTCCAGTTCAGCAATTGCATCATCTCTTTCCTGTTCAAATGTGTTTGGTGAAGAGTTCCGATGATGTTTCTTCTCATCTGCGCTCTCACGGTTCCTTTCTTTAGAATGCCGTCGCCCTCGAACAATGTCAATTTTCTCTCGTATCATATCCCATGCGCCAGAGTTGCTTTGCTTCTCCATTGTTGACTTGCTTACTTTGTATACAGCACGTTCATTTACCCCAAAAGCACTGCTCAAGTATCTTTTGTCAACAAATTCCTCAGCTGCACCATGACTGTTCACACCTAGCAATCTCTCATCATCAGTCTGTGAGCAACTGTTCACCATTCTCTGGCTCGTTTTCTTTACCGGTTTTGACGTGGAATTTGTGCTACTGAAACATCCTCTCTCTTCTTCAGATGTAACAATCTGACAACTGGAATTTGAATTGATTGGAGACACAGATCCTTTAAGAGTTGTTATGGTTAAGATGTCACATGATTCATCCATTATTGCCATTGCTTCTCTGGCACTTTTCAGTCCATCCATGGGTTTGTTATTAATCTAGAAGAACAAAATAGTACAACATTTATTAAGTGTTGGTTTTACATTTCAGAGAGACTGACTATTAAAAGTTGAACAAGATGAACAGAACTTTCCTACTTACACTAAGAACTCTATCCCCCACTGCCATGTTCCCTTCCTTTGCAGCTAATGAGCCTGGATTGATTTTGCAAATGTAGATTCCAGTTTCAAGAGTCAGACCATGTTCACTAACATTCAGGTGTAACTGAAAAATATATGCATCATCTAAGCACAGCACCTCCAAGTATACAAAGAATTCCACATAATTTACCAGCTACAGTGAAACCCCAATATAGGCTTGTCATTTCTAGTGTACCCTCATATTTGCTGAAAATGCCATTCAAATACAATGTTATTTTCCTTTCTACGTTTTGCTAATATTTTCATTTGAAGAGGCTTGCATTTATTTTAATTATTTAGTCTTAGTTTCTGCATTATCACAAGCAAAACTAAGTTGCATATGTATGTCAAACTGCTACAGTTTCATTAAATCACATCAGGTCACTGGCCATTTGTGATAAAAGATGTGGTTACCCTGTACTTAATTTTGTGACAGCACATGATTCATAAACAGTCTATGTTTATATATAAATAGAATCACTGTAAATGTAAAAGAAAAAAAAAACATTTCAATAATGTACATAAATTAAAGTATACATTCAGAAAGTTCCATGAGGAAAGTGAACGTGTACTGCTGTTACCAAATGGTCATTAACCAATCATCATTCATCATTTTATAGCTGTTACTGACATAAAACTGAAACGAACTTCCTTTATTTAGCACCCCCTACAAAAATGAACGCAATACCACTTCAGTTAATTTATATAAAACACTAGGACTTCTCCTATCCATAAGGGGTTTCTCCATTTGGAAATAAAATTCTTTTCCTTAAAAATATGTTTAAGAGTCGTACTGCATATACCTATAAACTTAACACATCTTACACTAATATATTAACAGTTACAACATAAAGATATGACTGGTTTAGTATACCTGTGTGGTATAGAGGCAGCGCCCACCCATCCGACGCCTCCGAACAACCATGTTGGCTACGCCACCACCTGAACGTACTGTTTCCAAAACCATTCTCTTGCTAACATTGCTACAATCCAAATTGTTCACCCGGCTGATACAGTCATTGGGTCTGTAATTAAATATACCAAATGCTACTCTATGTCTTGCTTACACAGCAGTACACAGTACTGCCACCTTTTTCACCTTTTCCTTCTATAGCAAAGTATGATTATTAAACAAGCTCAAAAAGTGAACAGCATATCACAATTATGTCACAAATGGCATAAAACAAAGACATCACACTATCAATATATTTTTATATATAACATTCAACATGTATTCCTTTCGTTCTTTGTACACTACACACTCAAAACATTTATGCGAAAACTCTTAAAGTACTCTTCAGGTGGCCAAATTGTGTCAAACTAAAAATTAAATTTCACAATAGCTATGACAATGAAAACACCAAACAGAAATCGGTACCAATTATTTTACATACAGTAAAGGCACTGAGGTGGGGAGTTGAGAAGATTAATGGAAGCATTACATTTCTAGAATCAGCTTCCAAAGCAAAACAAAGAACATTCAGAAACTGTATCCATAAATACCTTACCAAACAAATCTGAATTAACACTGCTATCAAATATCATAACGCAAATTAAACATTTTTTTTTAATCACAATAAATTCTGAGTCCATTTAAGTACAGGGCTTGAAAACCTCAAACTAATGAAATACTACGGTACTACGAATGAAGTTCTTGATGATACCAGGGAGCACAGTTACTAACGTAAAAAAAGGGAAAGCTATTACTGTAACAGGCTGTGGAGGCCCATACGGTTGAGACGCCGAGCCTCCCACATCTTCTAGACAATCGGCTCACAAATGGTGGTGAGGTTGTCAGCCTTACGCGCCAGATACCCTTTACCCTCAGGAAGACTCCTGGTACTCATTTCTGTTAGAGACTGAGTTGACCCCAGGGCCACAGTGCAGATGGAAGGATTAGGTCAACTAAAAAATCCAATGACCTCAACGGGAATCGAACCCACTACCTTCCAACTTGTAGCATATTGCCTCCACCACCTATGCTACTGCATGTCCCCATAGTTACTAATGTGCACTGAAACTGTATGAACCTATATTTAATTTTAACGAGGACAGACTCCAAACAAATTTTTTCCCTAGAAGCAGAAACTCCTGGATAAGGCCAACAAAAGCCAAAGTATTGCTGGACTGTCTCAACTTACTTCAGTTTGCCATCTGCTACACTGCCTTTGGTGACTGAGGATACATAAATACCACTATCATTAGGATAGTGGGGGTCATCCCTTCCACCAACCAAATCAAAACCAAGATCATCATCAGAAGCAAGCCCACTCTAGAAACAGAGAAGTCCATATATCATGACACAATCAATCTCAAGAGAGAGAGGTCATCATGACACAATCAATCTTATACATTCAGGGGAGTGCAGGAAAGATGCTGCATAAATAACTGAACTCTGTGGATAATAAGAAGTCACATTATAGTATTGTTGTGAAAATTAATTTAATTTACCAGCAAATTGGACTTAAATTTCAGGAAGAAACTAGTGAAATGCTACATTTGGAGCATAGCTCTGTATGGGGCTGAAACATGGACACTTAGGGCAGTAGATCAGAAACATCTGGAAAGTTTTGAAATGTGGTGTTGGAGAAGGATGGAGAAGATCAGTTGGACCGATTATGTGAGAAATGAAGAAGTGTTAATTAGAGTCAATGAGCAGAGGAATATCCTACATGAAATAAGAAAACGGAAGGCTAATTGGATTGGTCATGTTTTACGCAGAAACTGCCTTCTAAAAGAAGTTATCGAAGGAAAGATAGATGGGCGGATAGAAGTGACAAGAAGACGAGGAAGAAGACGTAAGAAGATGCTGGATGACCTTGGGGACAGAAGAGGATACTGTCATTTGAAGGAGAAAGCTCTAGATCGCATTAAGTGGAGGAATTGTTTTGGAAGAGACTGTGGACCTGTCTTCTGACAGATTACTGATGATGATGATGATGATGATAAAATTCCATGTTTTTCCTCACCAAATCAATATCCAGTATTTCTGTCTCCCACTCCTGGAGATCAGCATCGATAGCAGAGTCATGACTATGATTGTGACCCACAGTACGAAACTGTTGCATTCTTGTTTCCTTTTCCTGTTCAGCTTCCATCTTTTCCCTAAAGAGAAATCTCAAATTATATAATTTAACAGTAAACACATTACACTGAAGTTACAAATAAACATTACTTAAATAAATATACTTGAGGTCTTTGAGTTCTTTTGAAGCTTCATTCCGCTGTTTCTTGATATCATCAGAGTCCCTAAGTGCCTCTGCTAGGTCAGACACTGCTCGGTCACGCTCCTTCCTCAACCTGTCACAAAGAGTACGAATGCTCTCTCTTTCTAATACAATCTTATCTCTCTCGCTGAATGCCCAATCTCTCCGTCGCTTTGAAACTTCAGCTTCTTGAGTTGCCTCTGTAATAAGAACAACAAAAGTTTCAGTTAAACTTCTTCCTAATTCTCTCGTGTTCCAGACAACCGGGTATTGGGGCAGACTCAGTCATATAAAATGTACAGTTCATAATGTCCCTTAAATTGTAGGGAAAAATATTGTTTTCACCATATAGTTAACACAATAAATCTTACAAATAAAAACACTGGGATGTGATAAAAACTTTGTTGTTTCTCAATTGTGATTCCATTATCAGTACAGCACTGAATACTAAATGACAGCATGACTATGACTGCTGAATGCAGAAGGACATGGAGAAAACTTACTTCAACACAGGCATACTACCTCAGCATTTATTCAGATGAACTAGGGGAAAGCATGGAGACGGAAATCAGGACAGCCAGTTCAATTTTCAAGATTTGAAATGTAAATTCTGAGAATATGATGCAGGAAGGCTAACAACTGCATCATGATGCCTGGTATGCTGATGCTACTGAAATTCAACCTTTAGTGTCATAATTATATGCTTGATGATGGCTAAGGTCATTAATTTATGAACACAAGTTAGCACAAAAGAAACCAAGTTGCAATACCAGTTTCAGAAAATAGCAGTAGTACTGTTTATGAGGTTGTAACAATAACTGTCAAAAGTTAATCAAAATATACAAGGAATGTTACGTTAGCCAGTGGCTATCAATATATTCTACCAACCCAATCTCCTACAATAAATTACATGTAACAAAAATAAAAAATACATACTTTTGTTATTACATTTTTATGAGCCTGATCATTACCATACCATAATTAAATAAAATTTATGTTCAATTTTCTTAGAGTGAAGGAACTTTCAGCGTAATGAGAACATACTAGCAGTGCCAAATAACAAAGTCTATATTAATATTTTGTAATAATGCTTATTAAGGATAAACTCAGGCCGCGCCATAGCTCAAGTGGTTAGTCGCTGGCTTCCCTCCACGACAGCCCGGGTTTGATCAAGTGGGAATTGTGGTGGACAAAGTGGCGCTGGGACAGGTTTTCTCCGAGTACTTCAGTTTTCCTGCCAATCTTCATTCAACCAATTACTCCACAATCACCCTCACCTATCATCTGGGGCTGGTACAATAGGCCAGAAGTGGCCACAGTACAAGAGACTTAGTCCCACCCCACTAGCAATAAAAAAAAGGATAAACTATGTAAAATTCCATCAAAAACTGAAAAAGATTTCAGAATCTGAAGGCAACAATATACATGCAACGGAACCTTTCAAGTGAACTATGTCTCTTTCCATTTTTTGGGAAAACGTCAGAAACTAGCAACATTTCCAAAGTAGCTCTGACACTAGCATTTAAACAGGAGTGATCATCTTATGACTTCACTCTTAATACCAAACTCTGATTTTCCTTTTTGTTAATATTTACCTTGAAGCTCTACTTGCAATTTATCCAGCTGCTTTCGTAACCTGTCAATCTCTTGGTTTGCCTGATCCAGATTATCCATTCTTTCTTTTTGATATTTTCCATACATATCTCTGGTGCTTTTTAAAACTTCTGTTTGATCTTCTCTTGAGTTATCACTAGAGAGTAAGATAATACATATTTAAGAGAAATATTCAAACTTTCTGTGAGAAATACATAGACCTATATTTTAAACTATTACTGATGCTCAATATATCACAGAAACTGAAAAAAAGTCCCTATTAGGAACATTTTTAAAAGACCAACTTACTAAAATATCTTACATGGAAATAAATGTGAATTAGATAATGAATAAATCTTTATATATTTTAAGCACTTTTAACTCCCAAAAGAATATTGTACGCACAGAAACATATTCACTACTATACTATATTACTACATTCATTGGCAAATAAAATGATTTATGTAACACAGATGATTATGCAAAAATGAAATCTCCCCTTTTGTATAAAACACAAATTTCTCCGTGGCCTTTAGCCCACAAGCGAACTATGCCAACCAAGTGACTGCTGCTTGTCAGCGAAGTTAGTACCAACTTCTGCAGATAAAGGGTGTCGCATGATCAGTGCAATGGATTCCCTTGCCTGTTAATCTCAGTTTTCTAGGCCAGATAAAACACAAATGTAGATGCAAACTCAAGAATACCATATTAGCATGAAGTTCTTAAAATACTGTCTGCAAGCTTATTTCTCCAACAATTACTACACTAGATGTAGGCTTGTATTGTGGTCTTCTGGTTTATGCCTATGTGCAGTCTGGTGGGTCAATACTAATGTTTCAGAGGAATATACTATCTCATACTGACCAGGAAGCACAGTATCACATTTCTCTGACCTAGAACCTGGTTGGTTACAGAGTAAGGAAGTTAAGATTTACAAGTTCATTATATTACATACCGTTCCCTGCTGTAAGAATTATAATCCAATCTAGACTTCAAGCCTTCTCGAGTGGATTCTTCTTTTGCTGTGTATTCACCAAACTTCTCCCTCAAATCATTACATTCCTTTAGTGCTTTATCACGATCATGAAGTGCAGATGCAATTTCTCGTTTCAAAGTTTCGATCTGATATGAAAGAGCTTTTTTCTGTAACAAAGATAGTAACATGAATGTAAAACTGCAAAAATTAATACACAAGAAAATAACATTATGAATTTTTGTATACAACTGATTGTAAAGTATTAAAATGGCAGAAGCAAAATGCACTGAAAAATAGTATCGTACAGTCACTTCTAAACTGCAATTATTAAATTACTATTTCAGTCTAGAGCATATTAGCTCTAACCACCTCTCGGCTCAGTGAATTACTCATTTGGGAATGCTTCACCAATTGCAGTTAATCAACGAAGTTTATATTATACAAGATGCATACCATGACACCAACATTTAAGTTTCCTTTGGGAGCAGTGAATTCAACTACTAAGGTTAAGTTGTCCCTGTATTTAATTAAGCACCACACCATGAAGGGATACAAGGAAGTAGAGGTACTGCTTCATCACTTTTCCCTTTTCACTAGATGGCAAGATCTTATAAATGAAGGAAATTTAATGTTGGGATCACTGGAACTGTATAATTAATGAATGCAAAACTGATGGAATAATAATCAGCATTCCCAGTGCTCGGAGAAAATCCATCCCTGTGCCACTTTGTCCACCGCAAATCCCATATGACCTGACCTGGGATCAAATCTGAGCCACCATGGTGTAAAATGGAGTTCTTATTGTTAACGGCTCAATACCATAAGACCATAATGGTCTAGCTGGAAGAATGTCATAAATTTGCATTTCTGTAGGCTTGGACCTCATGACAGCTCAAAGATCTGATTTTATAATTCCTAGCAGTTTGACAATATTTACAGTTTTTACAATCAGATCCTTTTCCCCTCCATAGGATATATATCTCAGATAATTGAAAGTATTAATTTGTTCCAATATCCTACCATCAAAGCAGATTTTGTTTGTAATTGGTTCTGTTCTTCTTAAAGCCATAATTTCTTTCTTCAGTATTCATACCCATGTAAAAATCTGCAGCTATAATATTAAAACAGTATACTGAGTATTGTAGATCTTCAGACTTGGACAGATGGATCTGTTCAGCCACAAATAGCAGAAAAGCTTTGCAATTTGCTATTTGCTAAAGTTTGCTTTTGATAAAGTTAACAGAAACAAATTAACTGGAATTTTTACAAAAGGTAATATAATCAGTTAACTGATTATAGCAATGTATGACACTTATAAATATGACTCAATAGCAATAACAATACAGTCAAGAACCTTTCAATGGAAAGAAAGCAATAATGTTGTGAGAGGAAACTGTACCTCTCACCATTATAATTCATCTCATACATGAGCAAAATAATACAGTAGTTCTGTACTTTTTATTATGCTGTGGTTGTTGTACACACAGTCACCTCCTGCATAACCTCTGGCTATTGCAGGGCGGGGCACCTTAACCTCTCAGCAAAAAATTTATTAGCACTATGAATTTGATTTCTCTACTTTTTGATGAGAAACACTAACACAGCAGATCTTCCTTCTCAGAATAAATTTATACTTCTCCCATTTTATTTTCTTATTCTGTTTATCTCTAACAGAAATAGAAAACAGAATTTATATCCAGCATTTAATAAGTCAATACCTTTATAATTTTCCTAATTCTGTATACTATAAAAGATGTATAATTTAGCATTATTCAAACTACTTCTCATAATTTTAAACACCAAAAATTCTTGTGCCTCTTACACAGAGAATCACATTTTAATGAAACATGGAAAATTACAGCAGACAAATTAGATCAAATACTGACCATATGCTAGACACGTTACAGATATAATATTAAGCTATGCTTTTTCCAAAATCAAAGCCACAACATTACTCTCATACAAGCTTTGGACTACTGTATATGAGATACTATAACCCCCCTCCCCCGAATCACCACTCGATTTGTAACTCCAGCTGCGTTAAGAGACACAGCCTATTAGATTCCTGAACTGCATAACTGCAAACACCTATCACAGGAAATGTTCCTTAACAAATTTATGAAAAGTCATTTATGTACCACATTTTGCTACCTCAGAAAAAGAAAATTTTGTTACTTACATTCAAAAAATAATTTGGAATTCATTACAGATAATTTTGTTTTGAGGCAAATGATGGCATGAGGCTAAGTTCTTTTGACATCTCTTATAAACAAAAACAGAAATAAAGGAAAAGCTGTCACTGTGCTTAATTAAGTCAGATACAATGAAAACATATAAGGAAATGTAGATATAGCTCCATGCATTCTTAAGCTGAGCACAAGTAGGAGGTGACTGGTGAGCTTCATATCCTAAATGCTATCACCCATCCTCCAAGACAAGAGGCCCCCATACCCAATGGATGGGAGGCCAGATGGGCCAACAGAGCCAGTTAGGACATTGTTGAGATGAGAAAAGTCTCTTGTCCATGCTGGGAATTGAACCCCTATTCCTCAATCAATGTGACTGTAGCCCAGTCACTATATTAAATGAGTTATCCTGGATCACATATATCAAAACTGAATGTAAATTTACCTCTTCAACAAAATCTTTGTTCTCAACTTCTAATGTTTTATTTTTCTTAAAAGCCTGTGTAAGATCATCAGACAACTTTTCCATTTCCTTATGCACTGTATCTCTCTCACTCATGATGAGTGAGTATTCCTGCATTGCAGCATTTCTCTCTTCTGTCAACCTCTTCAGGTCCTTGCTTGCCTTCATTCTTACAGCCATAGCCTGATTTATTTCTTTCACTGCTTCTTCATGCTGTTGCTGCACTTTAGCAAGAGCTTCTCTGTATTCATTCCTTTCACGAAGAGCAATATCCCACTGACGTATTGCAGAAGTGCATTGCTGCTTCAAGCCGTTACGTTCCCGAATAGCTGAATTGCGCTCTTGTGCTACCTCATCACACTGTTTCTTCAAGCGGGACACTTCTTCCTGCAAAGAATGTTACAGAATAAATTAGCAAGGATAACATTCTCTCGTACTTTGTGGTTGTACAGAAAAAGAAACTGGGATGTATTAAGGCCACTTAGACCTCATTTTTAATTACTAAATCAAGAATTCATACACTCATACAATGTAAATTAAGGAGAATAGGATAGACATGGCATAAAACATAAACTGGAGAGATAAAAATACATACAAAATATTGGTTGGAAAAACTCAAAAGCAGAGAACAACTGTAAGGCATATGATATCATGAAATTAGACTGTGATGCCATAACCTGAATTCAACTGGTTCAGGATAGGCAGTCTTTTCTGACCATGGTAATGAACCTTCAGATTCTGTGAAAGCAACAAATTTACTGACCACTTCATTAATTATAAATTTCTTATGAAAGAATATGCACAAAATTGTTAGCTGAAGTGAAAATAACAAAGGAAACATACTTGTGCTAGTTCCAGTTTGTTCACTGCTGATGTGTGAGAAGAGATCAAATCATCATAGCGTTTCCTTAATGAATCATATTCGTCTTTTACTGCTTCATATTTCCGGAGTGCATTCATGTAATGTTGATTCAAAGCATCACTTGTCCCACTCTCACTAACAATGGCATCCTAATAACAAAACAATCAGGATACATCATAAAGAGGTCTAACCATTTGTCATATCACTGAATTAATTCCTTTATCTTATATTTCTATTACAAGACAAGCAAAAATGATGAAAAGATGATAATGCACTGTTATTCAAATGGTCATACACTGAAGGAAACAACATTAAGTCCAGTTAGATTAACTGGCCCATAGGAGTTATTTACAGATTCCTAGAATAATAGTATTTTCTGTAACTCCGAACTAGCCCTGGGCTGTGCATGGGGCTATGTTCAGATGACGGGATGTCATCCCATGACAAAATTTAGTTAGACAACAAATATCTGGTGATGGAAGTTGAATCAACAGCATAACTGAAATGAAAATCTACTTATAATTGGCAGTTCTGATTGGGTGACTTTTCAGAACACCCACAAAAAGAAACCCCAGACATCTGTCTAACAAAGACTTAAAAAAAACTATGAACAGTAAAACCTCACTTAGAATAAACTTCAAGTATAATCAAGTCCCATGAAGGAACTTTCAAGAAGGCCTGCATTTACAGAGGGAATAACAAAGTTTTGATTGTATTACAACCACCTAGTACCATGTGAAAACATTATTTTCAAGGTTGAAGGGAAGGTAAATTGATGGTGAATACATACATGCAGTGGCAAAAAGGAATATATATATATATATAAATGTAAACCCCAATCTAAATAGTTCTGCTTCATTTTTCTTTAGTTTTAGGTGCAAGTCATTTACAAAAATCTGTGACAGTTATGTTTATACATTTGCAAGCTAACAGAAAAGAAAACATTTCATTTCATAACAAGTGGTCATGAAATATAAATTTATTGGATCATAACTACATCACAGCCTGAACAATAAGAGCACGGTGGTCCATGATACACAAAGTATGATAAAACCTGTAACATTTTTTCTTGCTGTAAAACAGACACTTCTGACAATTACTTTCTTTTCGTCATCTATTCAACAGTCACTAGACCAAGACAAGACTCAGCAGACCGTTATGTGAAAGTCTAGATGAAATGAGATCAATTTCACAAGCACCGTGTCCAAGTCTCTGTTCAGTTTCCATTTCTGTAAATCTCTTGATCATAGCACTTCTTTTGCATCAGCCTTCCTACTCAAAAAAAAAAAAATAAATAAATAAAATGAAATAGAACTATATATATATATGAAATCCCAATTTTAACCAAATTTCAATGACTGGTGGATATGTATTCACTAACAACTGCCAAAATTTGTATTAATTTTATTCTGAAGAGAAACAGTATTACTTGTTTTACAACTATTTTTTCAGCCCACAAATTATGAAGAACAGATCCGTTTTTAAATGACCAATCTTGAAACACTTTGTAAAAAGGTGTGACTGATTTATATAAGTAACCTATAAATCAATCAACATGGAAATTAAAAATTGCCTATCTATCAGATATAAACAAAATAAGAGCAAATTTACATCTCCATTTTTATTTATTATCCATTTTTGCTGCTATTCAACTCCAACTGTTGATGTAATGCTCAGAGATGGGTGGTTCAGATCATAACAGATAAGGAAGAACTGGTCATTTACATTGTAGTAGCACCTGCTTAGAAAGAGACTCAGATTTGGAAATTAATTTATGAATGCAAAGCACTTCATGACACTAAACATGAAATACATTACAAAATTTGAAGGCATAATAAAAGCTCATTAAAAATATTATAATTGTCTGAGACTTACATAGACAAATGCATACAGCAAACATGAGCAATAATGTGCTAAACTGGCTCTGCTCCAAATGACATTTCTTTTATCTCTCTTAAACTGTTAATTAACTGGACATAAATGGGACTTGGTTTAGAAAAGATTTTTACTCCATTTCACCTACTCAGTGTTTCCTATAATGTGTTCTGAATGAAAATTCACAGCAGTTCTAAAATTCTATTCAAAATACAAAAATTTCTGCAAACAAGTTTTCACAATTTTGAGACCCAGAGACAAACTCAGACAACTTGGAAAACATTAAAATTATTTCATCATTTCCATTCACATATCTGGACTCATCTCGGTATTCCCATAAATACAAGCGCATCATAAATTATTATGACATGAAATCTTTGTGACTGTGCAAATATTAATGCATAACACAAAACCGCAAACTACATATTAACAGCACAGACAGCTGAAGAGGCAAATGTTATTACAGTCCTCCGGTACCTGTCAGGAAGGAGTGACTGCATGAGTATTTACTCTGAAATGTCTACAAGACTTTAACTATAAAACAGTTCATCTAATGCCTTAATCACATAACCACACCTGCTGCTGGCATCTAAGCTCTGTCACTTCTTTCTGCAAACTTTGGACATCCCGATCTACACGCTGCTTTTCTGATGCCAGATCAGCATATTTGGAGCGTAGAGTGGAAGACTCTTGAGCGGCTGCTTCTAACTGGTTCATTGCTGCTCTGTGCTGTCCTCGGTAATATTCCAGTTCTTTCATAGTGTGGTCACAGCGACGGATTGTCTCACTGTGCTGCCTATCCAATATAAGGATTTAAAGAAAAGAATCAATTCGGCTCAGCCATGTTACTGAATGCTGCACTTCATGACTGACACATTATTCAATGTGAAAAAAAAAAAAACATATCTGTAACAATACATGTTTCTGGTAATAGAACCTTAAGGTTCTATTCTGTAATTCCAGACAGTTGATCAGCAAATGAGGAAATACTCTATCTTATATTGAACCAAAAGGTTCACCGCTATGTTTGCAAAGACAGCTGTTGGACCCTGTGAACCAAGTGAATCCACTCACATATTCAAACCCATATAAGATTCATTTGTACACTGTTCTCCTGTCTACAGGCAGGGCTCCCAACATGCCTATTCTCTTGAGGGTGTCCAACCAAAGAATTACTGAAATATTTTTAGATTACAGTTATGTAGCAACATTTATTTCTCAAGCTCAAAGTCTTCCTGTTTCCATCCCCAGGCAAAGGAGTGAAGAGACATCCACTCAGAAGCGTCAATTAGATAGAGCTAATCTCAATGACAGCAACTGACACTAGCTCTATCTAACAAACCAACTTGAGTACATGCCTCCACACCCTCACTTGAAGATGGAAACATATCCAGTTTCAGGAATATTGCATTCTTTTAGAAAATCAAAATTCAGAAATTCAGTAATCCTGAGATTTAAATTTTCATTAAAATCACAACTGCAGAAATCTTGAGAAAACAATTTTGTTTGTCATACCCTCAGTTATTTGGGGACAGGAGCAACAGTGCGCAGATAAACATAAAATAATATAAAAAAATCACCACATACACACACACACACACACACACACACACACAAGAAGATACTGGGTTTTTGTTGTCGCTAAAAGAAAATTCAACACTGCAAGCTTCAAATCACTCTCTTGAGCAGAAAATGTAGTTTGTTAATTATAACTCACAGAGATACTGGGTTTTCAGACTTTGTCCATCGTCCGGATTCTAAATAACTAAGAAAAAATACGGAAACTGGATCTGTTTCCATCTTCAAGTGAGGGAAGACACCTACTATGTTGGGTCCCTTAGAAAGAGCTAGCCTCAATCACTGGACACCTGAGGACGGAAACAGATCCAGTTTCCGTATTTTTTCTTAGTTATTTAGAATCCGGACGATGGACAAAGTCTGAAAACCCAGCATCTCTGTGTGTTATACACCATCGTCTGAACCCCAGGGTATCTACTTAATTACAACTGTTAAACATGCTGAGAAGCTTCCAGAAACATCTTCTTTCACTTAATCATTACAACAACCAATATCATCCATCATCTTTTCATACCCATGTCTTGTGACATATTTCAGTCTCGCGTCCACTTTTTTAACAGCTACCCAGGGTCAAACTGTAAACTATATTCATACAAAATGTTTCAAAAATTTTCCTTAAATACACACCCAGATAACCTACAGCCAAATAATTCAGAGTTAATTATAATTCAGTTTTGACAGACAAAAGACCTTGATTTCAAAATTCATGAAATGATAACAATTATAAATTACAGTGATGAGAAATAGTGGTTCAATTAATGTACAAGGAAGGTGTAAAAACTTAAGACCAGAAAGTAACAGTACTACTATGACCACCTTCATATACCTTCAACACATTTATCATCCTATCAGAGAGGGGTGTATTATTCAGGCGTCAAGCTACTTAACACTCTGCCATCAAAATATCACAGTTTTAAAAAATGAGAAAAAGAAATTTAGGTTTGTTTTACGAAATTATTCGCAAAGTAACACATTTTACTCTATTGATGAATGTGTCAAGCATGCAAGGGGCTCAAAAGCTAAGAGTTAATAAATGGTCTGTGTGCATGAATTATACATTGTTGAGAGGTGCTTGTTGTAAGTGCAGTATGTATGATGTCTATTTTTGTTATGAATTTTAATATTTTATAATGTAACTGTTTGGATGATATGGCTTGCCAGTGTGTGTGGAATGGCAAGGTGTGAATGTGACAGTGGTTTTTCCACAACCCATGTGTGTTGTCCTGACAACCTGAGCTATCTGTGTGAGGCCTGATTACATATTTTATCGGACAAAGGACGAATGATGTGTAGTCATCATGAATTTGTAACATGTGACATGTTTTATACCCAGCCCTATGGGGAGATGATTGGATCCATGAAGTGAAAAATAAATGTAAATGTAATTAACGCTTTTTTTTTATTGCTAGTGGGGTGCAGCTAAGTCCCTTGTACTGCAGCCACTTCTGGCCTATTGTACCAGCCCCAGATGATAGGTGAGGGTGATTGTGGAGCAATTGGTGGAATGAAGATTGGCAGGGGAAACCGAAGTACTCAGAGAAAACCTGCCCCAGCGCCACTTTGTCTACCACAAATCTCACTTGACCAGACCTGGGATCGAACCTGGGCCACAGTGATGGGAATAAGTAATGCTTACTGTCTATTATACAGAATATATTTACTACCCATTGCTTACACAAAACTCGTCACAACAATTCAGTACAACATGCCAGTTCTTAACAAAGCAGACCACGCTGGATAGTAGTAGTTGAAATGAGGTTCTATTAAGTAGCACATATCAGTAATGCTAGTTACACAACAACACCACATAAATGGAATTACTGCTGTCATAAACTTATTTTCATAAACAAATAAGATAATTTTTACCGACAACTAACAATAACCACAGAAAAAAAAAACTGGAAATTACCATAAAACGTAAACTTATCTTTCTCAGAAACAATGTCGAAAGAATGCTTGTGATAAACTGAAACACAATGAATGTCAAAAACATAGCAATTTTTTTTTAAAATATGGGTGACTATAGACTAACTTATCTCCATCCTTAAGAAATTCACAGCAGGAACAAAGACTTCAGGGGCAATATTTAGAACCAGAATGTGGCATTTAGATATATAAAAAAAAAGTCATCCATGTCACAGTACATGGGGAAAAAGCCACCTCCCACTTTTTCAATCATTTACAAGTATACTGATTCTGTACAATAAAATCCTCACTGAGAAGCTGACAATCACTCAGCTGGCCAAGAAATCCTCACCTTTTATGTAATCGAAAGGTCCTGAACCCACTAAATCCAGTCCACATACATCCTCCATCCTCACTTCTTTAAAATATTATTGTCCCACCTACTTCTAGGAATTCCATCTGATCTCTACCATTTAGACTTTATAACCAAAACTTTGCATGTATTTTTCATCTCTTCCACAAGTGCTACATGCCCTGCTCATTCTATTCTCCTTGGTGAAGAGTATAAATCCTAAAGTTCCTTGGTATGCAATTTTCTCCATCATACTGGCAGTTCCTCTAACATAAGTGCAAATATTCTCAACAGCCCCCATCTGTGTTCTTTTCTCTACACCCATATAAAATGACTGAAACTATACAAAGACAAGTAAGACAGACACAGCCCATACACCCTCATAAGCAAGATGTGGACCAAATCAAAATACAAACTGTCAAGTAATCACATAATTTTTCCCTCTTTATTTTTATATTCTTAGACAGGGGTAGGGAAGACAGAAAAAAAACTCTGAACTGAAATGTAACAAACATTTCCTATATTAATCTGCTCCAACTTTCTTTGTAAAAGTAATTTTTATCTGTTAGTAATACTGTTAAATATCTGAATTCTGCTAAGCTTCTGAAATATGTATGATCCATGTACTGCAGTAGTATTTGTTAGCATAGGAACAATAATAATTTACTAAGTTCAGTGACATAGTCTTGGTTCCAACTACAAAGTTCCTGTGACACTGGGAGGTTCATTATTACGTTTCTGATGCTGGCCTCTGCTGGGGGTCACCCAATTATGTTACATAACTAACATCATTCCCAATTCTGTACTTCATTTACTTTTCACGTGAATATGGGAAACAATTATAACCCACAAGGAATGTTCATAATATTATTTACTCTCAAAATACTTTCAAGAACTTGAGAAAAAAATTATATCGTGTTATGATTCTTTTTAATTCACTTAGTGGGGGGGTGGAGTCCAGTTGGGTCCACTCGGCATGGCGTCCACTGATTGGCCTATTGTAGCCTGCCCCAGGTTATTATAGGATGGAAAATTTGGTGGAATGAAGACTGGCACGGGAAACCGAAGTACTCAGAGAAAACCCGCCCCAGTGCCACTCTGTCCACCACAAATCCCGCTTGACCAGACCCGGGATCAAACCCAGGCTGCCACGGTGGGAAGCCAGTGACTAACCACTTGAGCTATGGTGCGGCCTGGTGTTATGATTACTGTTCAATTTATTCTGCTACTCTTCTTACATTCTTCTAATATTGTGACATCACCTTAACATGATTCAAAATTAGGTGCGCTGTTGTTTCTTGAATAATATGCCAAATGAACACAAATGCAATTGGTTTAAATATAAAGTTGTACGGATGACTGACAAACATACCTTCTCAACATCTGCAGCTCATGCATTGCTTTGTCACACTGTTGCTTCAGACCATCATAGTCCCTGACAGAAGTTGATGAAAGACTTCTGTCACTATTGGATACAGTATACCCACGTGACAGAGTACCTGAAAGCAACATAATATCTAGAAATATATATATAACAGATTCATATTGTTCTCCTGAAGTCATCAAAACAAAATACAGATAGAACTGAATGTGTATTATAATCACAGCTCACCATTACTTCCTGTGCTATCTAAAGAAGATGCTCCAGATGCCATGGCTGATTAGGCATAGGATTTCCACACTACTGGATAAGTTCAATCATAGAATGACCTTAATTCTATTACAGCTCATCTATAAATGAAATATTAAAACATAAATGGCATAATTAGACTTCACAACAAATTAACTACCACATTTACAGTACATCAGACATCATAAATGAGCATCCAACATGAACATAATATCAGACCGTATTACTTCAAATTTTGGTAACCGACTGTTAAGAATAACTACTTACAACTTACCAAGCCATTATTTCAACACGATCTGACAAGTGGTGCATAATAATGTTCCACGCAACTTTTTTGTCAAGACCTTACTTGGCACTGGAATATTTCATAAAGATTTCCTACACATTGTGATGCGTTAGGTCCCATAACTTCGTAATTTTAAAAGACCAAAACTAATTCTGGTTAGTTTACACAAACAATTTTACAAACGGAACAGGGCGCACATCAAACATAATAAGTCAGCTGACCGAAAGCAACTTTCAACTCACTTCTGGTGACGGCTGCTTAGTTGCCATACTGTGTGCAGCTGCAAATAATAATTACTTAATTAAAAGTATGCACTATCGTAATACAACATAGAAATCTCTGCACTTAACCCACATCAAAATTACAAACCCTTAAACTTACCTGGTAACTGATCCCAAAGAATTAGCTGCCGTAATAAATCGAAAATCGTCTTCTGTTCTAATTCGACTTCCACTTCGTACAAGGATCATGGCCTCCTACATTCCGTTACACTACAATGATCAGTGCGAAGACCCTTCTAATTTAATGCAATTTTTAGACCACGAAGAGAATGGTACTCTCAACTACATCTCAAAGCTCTCACCCATTTACAGCATTCTCTCACTCCACACTAGTTACTCTACTTTATCCACCAATTCAGGCACTGCAAAATTTCACTTCAGTGAAGTATGACATCTCTCAACGGTTCAGAAACATTCCTCCTCGATTGTAGGAACGGTACGGACAGTGTTTCGAACGTTTCGAATAAGGGAATGTAGTGAAATCTGAAAGAGACACGACACATCGCAGTATCAGGGTAAGTAGTGAACCGTGGTGTCAGATATTTGGTGTGACATATGTGCAACGGTAAATAAAGTTACGGATTCCTACTGCCGAATTTTCAAAATAGAGGCAGAATCATTGCTTTCAATCTCTTCGTATAACGGTGAAGCCAAGAATAATGTGAATTGAAAACAATGGGGAAACACGGATTCGCAAGTGTGAAATCTACAGGTTAAGATCAATGACCTAGTGATCTTATTGTTGAGTACGTTAAAAATTCGACGGCTTGTCAACATATAGAGAATAGCTGAATTAAAAATATTAATATTATTGTTTTCATGTATGTAATATCCTGATGCGAGTTTCGTTTTATTGTTTCAGTTCCAGCAAACTACATCAGAATTTAAATTTTCAAATCAGTAACTTAAACAGACGCCTTCACAGTAAATATGGCTACAGATAAACTGCAGATAACGAATTAAATTTTTGCTGCAGATTTGTCAGTACATAAGAATGTTATTTGACAGATTCCACAAGATGTCCCATAATCCTATTATACTTAACTTTCATGAGGTTTTGCTACATAAGTCTGATACTGACTTGCTGGATGGCCCACACTGGTTGAATGATAATATTATAAGCTTTTACTTCGAATATCTCGAAAAAATTGCTTATAAAGATGAGAAAAAGCTTTTGTTTGTTAGTCCTGATGTTACTCAGTGTCTTAAAGTTTGCCCATCTGAGGACTTGACAGTTTTCCTTGATCCCCTGCAAGTGAAGGAACGAGATTTCATTTTCATGGCTCTGAATGACTGTGAAAAGGTAGATTCTCCTGGTGGTACACACTGGAGCCTTCTAGTCTACAGCAAACCAGAGGACACCTTCTTTCACTTTGATTCTTTATCGCAAAGTAACTTCAAGCAAGCATGGAAACTGGCTGCCAATCTGTTTATGTACTTATCAAGTTATGGCAAGGGTGATTTCCAGGAAATAGACTCATTACAGCAAGTGAATAGATATGACTGTGGCATTCATGTCCTTTGCAATGTTGATCTTGTTGCAGACTTCTGTGCAAAATATAATAAAATAAAAGGATGTGGAAAAGTTTTGGAATATAATGTTGCAACAAAACGAACTGAGATATTAGATTTAATAGAAAGTCTTTCAAAATAGTAAACAATCAAATCTGTACATCTTTAATTGCTCTGCAATATTTACTTCAGTGTAATATTAGTTTGGAATGGTTGTGTTCAAAGATAGCATGGAGAATTACATTATGTAATGAGATAATCTATAGATTTATCAATAAAAATATTCTCTGAGAGCTGTTTATTTGCAGTGTAAAAAATAGCCCTATGCATAATTAGCATCATGCCATGTAGACATGGCAGGGTGGCAGTAAAATTAAGATGGTATATTAAATTATATTAAAATACTGTAGTTTCATTTCTTGTAGAGGGTGTTTCAAAAGTCTCATCTCTTGCAAAGGATGTTTCAAGACTTTATGTCACTATTTCAAGACCTCATTCCTGAGGCCATTCCTAATAAGAAATGTCATACTGAATAGGTTGGTATAGAGGTAATGCTCTTAAACTTTTATTGAGGAAGTGTTTGGTTTCAATTTTGACTTTGACACTGGCTATTCCAGCTCGGGTTTCATTGTTTTTCACAGTACCACTAGGACAGTGCTGGGTATGACCTCAATTAGTTCATGACAGTTTCCTTTAAAATCCTTTTCAATTCATCAGTCATCTATCATCTGATGCTATACAGTCTTAATACTGAAAGCATCATTAAATAACCCACACCAAAGTGTCATGACCGTGGATTCAGTTTCAAACAGTTATGGATGTTTCAAGTTGAAGAATGATTTACATACAGGGTGTCCCAGGAGGAATGGACCAAACTTAGAGAGGGTGTTCCTTATGTTAAAGTATGCCTATATCACCCAAAACACCTATGTCCAAAGTTGAATGGTTACGGAGATAATGGCCAGAGAAGTGTCAAACTTTGACCAGTGTTACACACTTGTTGATTACAAAATACATGTTAAAACTGGCAGGAATATGTGGATTCTGTAATGTTAATAATGTACGTAACATCAAACTAACTTGTGAGTGATGTGAAGCCATAAAATTGAAGTACAAAATATTCGCTCACCATGTCATAATTGTTCTTAGGGTTTCCAAGCACTATACATGACACATGACTGGCAAGCGCTGATGTAACATGGCTGACTGAGCGTTCTGGTATAAGCCAACTACATAAGTACAGCTAGGGTGAATCACCGCACTCAAGGACAAACATAGATAAGGCCTCTCAGCTGACAGGTACAGTGCGTGGACCCACCAGAAGACCACACTTTTCTCGGGCCATTATCTCTGTAACCGTTCAACTTTGGACATAGGTGTTTTGGGTTATATCGGCATACTTTAACATAAGGAACACCCTCCCGAAGTTTGGTCCATTCCTCCTGGGACACCCTGTATAACTAAGCTGTCTTCATAAACTAGTTTTTACATTGTACAGTTCATTTTACACTACATGTTCAAAATTATCATATTTTCCTGTTTACTGTGTTCAGGGTTATTTACACATCTTGCAGTATCTAAATTTGATGTAGTTTACCTCTTGTGTTTGTTTTGTGGTCACATCATTTCCTTTTGTGTGACCTTGCACATGACTTGACAGTGGGGACACTGGTGGCCATCTCTGATGCTCTCCACAGCTAATTCACTAATTTCAGTAGAAAGGTGACACAATATTAATCAGTTCACTGATTAGTACCTTGGATGTGGAGGTCTACTGAGGTGACCACCAAAGTCTCCAGATCCAAGCCCAATTTACTTCCATCACTTTCTGTAGAAAAGTGCTTTGACAAACAGTTACATCTAAGGGCTTTGTAGTTTTGTAACCGAGGTTCATGACACAGTTCCATTGCTCTCATTTAAATTCAACAGAAAGCAGAGAAATTGAACTCTGAACTGACTAATGAACACACATTCCTCTCATCTATTTATGTTCTCACAGAAATGTTACTCTGAAACTTCTCTGTATGGCAGCTGCACATACTGCAAAGTTTCAATGACAGCAATACAACTGCTCAACTTTTAAATCCACAACTACATGTCCCAAATCTAACCTGACAGCACAATTCATTACTGAGACAAGAGTTCCTTGGTTCTGCTCCCAGAACTGTATGATGAATAAGTTCCTGAATGTACTTACCACACAATGACCCCTTACTTGCTTTATCTGTAGCAGATAAGAAGACCTATCACAAATAATTATGGAAGTGGTATCATTCTTCGTGTTCATATTGAGTTGTTAAGACAACACATTCCATTTGTCATAAGCCTTACTAAAATCATCAAAAATGAAATATTTTAATTTTTATACCAATTTTTACACAAATTTGTATGTGTAATAAAACAGTTAGTAAATGCTGTTGCTTGTTTTTTTGTGTGTATATTGCACAGATTTGTGTAAACCTACATAATAATGTCTCAGAAGATATTTATTTATTTATACTAGAATGTTTTTCATTAAAACCTTCTTTGGTCTAAAAAACGTTTCCAGAATTGTCTGCATACACATCAATCAGCAGATTTTCTTAATATTTTATATTTATATTTACAAGCAGCCAATTTAATGGTGAACTTGACTTGAAATGGGCATTTTGTCAAAAGTGACTCTAAATGATTTTGAACAAATATCAGTCATTTACAGGGGGTGTAGTCTCAAATATTACTTCAAAGACCATAAGTACTAAATAATAAAGATAATCACATGACATCCAGATGCTTGTCTTTGCTTGATAATGCCACATAAGTCCTTATCAGAATTTTATGGAAGGTAAGATACTGGTTGATAGGAAATTATTCTCAGGATTTCTTTTACGTGCATCATATTTTTCTCCAATGCTCCTGGTACTGTCTTTCCCACATATCCTTGGATTTTCCACTACTCTAAGATTCCTAAGACTGGTACATTAAAACATAACTGCATCAGTATACAGCAACAATACTGTATGTATTTGTTTGAGAACATGGAAGTTATGCAAGGGTCACATTTCATTCACTGTACTGAAAATTTAGTTTGAGTGATGACAGTTACACTAATATATATCTTCTGTATAATGAAGAGTGATATCCTGGCAATGATTACCATATATGAAAAAGTATTAGAAATTTGGTTAGTAGAACCTGATTGTCAGAAATCTCTACAGTGTAACTGACTTTATGCAGTGAACCAACATGAAAGTGATTAGAATTATTTTTACGAGTATGTCTCATTTAGGTAAACAGAAACTACATCTTCACTATCATACATTGGACAAACAGCCAGTACTGCCTCAAATGCTCAGCTTCTTAAAATCATACTTAAAAATCAGGTTTTATAAATTGTTCACACTCTTTTCATCAGCTTAGAAGAAAAATGCATGGGAAATTGTAAGAATAAGTAAGGCAAAATAGCACATTCCTCTCCTTTTAATGATACAATTTACCACTTCAGTCCTCTTTGTGACAAGCACAGTCTCTTACTGCATATGATGACACCATTAAAAGTGAAATAAAACATACATCATGAAGTTCCAAAATGTGGCTCCAGAAGTTTGGAATATGGTTTAAATTCTGAAGTAGTGGGAAAATGGAATAAATGTACTTTATCATCAAAATGCATTTAATAAATGATAACATCCAAAATTACATTTTCAAAGAACTGGGTACAATATTTTTTTCTTTACATCATTATACTCCCTTTCAAAGCATTGTGGTTTTATGTTTTCCTGCGCGTGATGGAACACTTTATCAATCCTATACAATTACTGGCTATAAATATACTATCTAATATTCCAGTATTTAATTTTCCATTATTACATAAAATGGTTCACTATATCAGGATTTCTATGTGATACCATCTCACATGTCATATACAAACTGACAGATAAGTTACATAACAAAAATATACATTTATTTTTAAATCAGGCATTAGTTCTTTTTAAGTTCTTATGTATTATTCACAAAATATAGTGCCTGTACAAATATTAGCAATAAGTGGATTTACTATGAAGAAATGCAACTTTTGGGACTCATGAATATTGCATTAATACAATACATATCACAATTTTTCTCTTCATCTTTAAGATCATATATATATTTTTTTTCGTTGCAATCCAATATTCCTGGTCATGAGCCCCAAGACAGAATGACTGACCATCAGTCGCAATGTGACTTTGACTTGAGATCAGTCAGTTCTTAGTGTAGCTCCAAGTAAGCAGAAGCCAGCTCGCATCCGGAAAAGGGAATAGAGGACTTCACCGAGATTAGTGGTGCAAGAAGTAATTATAACAGTGTAGTAGTTGATAATAATTGTACTCATAAATGTGTAAAAGCATGTGTTCAATAAATATTCGCTGAATCCAAGACCTACGTGAAATTATTCATTGCATTACCTATGAGAAAGAAGTAGGTTACCAGGTAACACATGACAATATATATGTAAATGTGGAATTTTGAAGTGGAGGTGACAACCAAGTTTCTGGTAGATTATAACCAGTCACAGACTGATGACTGATACTGCATATGAATGGACTACATGGATTACAGAATTAATAATACACCCTGTACATCAACAGATATATCCAGAGATATCTTTCAATAAATGTAATGTTGCCTGGTATACTGTACATAACGTGCTCCCATCCTCTGTGCAATTTATAATGTTATATGCTTGTCTTCAAGTGTCCACTGTTCATATGTACTTACCAAACGATGGCAACATGTTGGAAAATAAATGATTATGGTTATATGAAAATAAAATCAAGACAGATAATCTAGGATAGCTTGAAACATCTTAAAATCTCTTAACATCATCCTTTCCATTATCTGTGTTAATATTACAAAAGTGAACTGACATGAAGGGCATTACATCTGATACAATGAAAAACTATTACTGATTTAAATATTGTCACATGTTATGGGCTTTCATGGCCTGTTACAGGGATAGCTTTACTTTTTTACTTACTTACACATGTAAAGGGGTTAGTGTGATTCATAATAATGTGTTCTGGATTTGATGATTGGGTTTATTGGCACTTCTTTGCAATTACAGTCAATTATAACAGCTCACACATTTAACTCCTTCTGAATGCATTACGACTCCTGTCTGACAAATGCTGTATGAAGAATCTCTCCCGAATCAATTCTGAATCCTCTTACAAATGAATCTGTCAAATTCATGAATAAACTCCCTTTTATAACTGCAAAAGGACTGAATAGAGATCACCACCTCCCTCAGTTCCACTGCTGCTCTTCATGATTGCGTCATCTCGGAAACGTGCATGCACCATTGCCCAGCAAATGGATAATTCCAAGTCCGACTCCACTATTCCGGCTTTTTGGGGGTGTTTACCAAGCCATTGCGTAGCAAATGGTTTTTCTGGCTTGTCATGGAAACATGTGTTTAAGAGCTGTTGTCTGGCAATGGATTATTCCAGCTTTCAGGCATCATGTCACAATACTGTATAATGTTATCTGTCCTCATTACAAGCTTAATGATTAGCATTTCATGCCATAGCATGAATACTGATTTTAGGCTTTCATGGTGATTATTTATTGATGTTAACTATGTTCTTTGGTTGTTAGCACACCATGTTGCTGTAGATGATGTCACCACCATTTCAGAGGAACATGCTACCTTCATCTTCAGGGTCAGAGTGTATAGGTTGAAGTACTATATATATATAGCATTCTCTTCAATCTACATACACATTTCAACCCTGAAGACAGAGAGGGCAGTACCCCAAAATGACAGCAACATCAACCATAACCACATGGTGTAACAACCTAAGAACAGAATCAACATCAATAATGTGAATAATTAACATTCACTTAATGGAATAATGGCACATATGATTATCAAAAGACAATAATTATACCAACAACAAAGTACTGAAACAAAAAGAATTATAAATATTAGGTACTAAATATGTGAGTGCGTTCAAATATCTTTAAAAGGGATCCATTGCCTTTTCCGTTCATTTGATTTGGTGTACATGTAAATCCATTCCATAGTTTAAAAAATTAGTTCAACAAAAACAAGTGACAATGTAAAGCAAAACTAGATATAGTTTAAAATGATTCAATGACCATTCTTGAAACACATTAACTGGCTTGTGTTCTCTAAACCACATATGAAACAGTTTCTTGGATAAACAATACATCAACGTGAGTCTGGTTAACACTAATTAGTAAATTAAGGCTACATATACATATGTTAATACAATACACCTTTATCATGTATTCAGTAGAATAAGATTAAGCACCAATGTAATAAGCTGACAGGAATGTATTACATTTCACATAATATATAGACACAGTTGTTCCTTGACTTACAACTTCCACAGTTACAATCCCACTAAATTAACACCTAATAGGTTTACAGTCATATTTTTGGGGCTTACATCTCTAAACTCAAATTTTTTACCTTAGACAGCTTCTTCAGAAAGCCTCATGTCCCAGTCAGCACTCTTCCAGCATCCTCTCCCAAGCCCATCTGCCTACCGAAATCACCCATATCCAGAATTCTCATATTTGAATTCAAGGTGCTGTAGATATTAGATTTTTATAAAATTTACTTTTGATTTGTTTCATTCTGGTCTGTCACACTAATATTATGAAAAAGTTAAATAGTTCCGTCCAGTGTGACTGGTTAAGATTTTCTTATTTCAATTATTCATGCCCTTACATGTTTCGGTCCAATACTTTAAAATATTTATAGTTAGTTTGTTAAGATTCTATTGGAATTTGTAAAACAAGCTGGTTCATGTCATCCCTCTTATTATTTCTTTTGATGGGGGGGCTGAATGTGTGCCACCTTGTCATTCTTGAGAAGAGGGTTCTTTAATGTTGTCCTGTATGTGTTTGTGGCCTGCTGTGTTGTCTTTACTGCACAACACAGCGGGCCACAAACACATACAGGTTTGGAACAGCCGCTGTAGTTGTAAAGACTTTAGATTTTACAGCCAATTGTATATTGTTTGTATTGTATGTATATATTTTAACTTTTAGAACATGTACTGTAATGGTGGTTTCTAACAGTATTGATGTAAAGGTGTCCCTCTGAAGATGGCCTCTGAGGACCGAAACATGTAAGGGCATGAATAACTGAAATAAGAAAATCTTAACCAGTCACACTGGATGGAACTATTTAACTTTTTCATGTTAATTTACTTGTTCATAATGTTTGTAAATGCTGTGGAAGCTAAAGCTGTAACTCATGATCCATGCTGTAATGCTCTGGTAGCTAAAATCATAACTCTTAATGAAAAAATAGTAAAATATTAATTAACTTAGTTATTTTTTATATTTGTAATAGTTTACATGTTTAACACTATGTATTTGATGTTCCTTTATTGATTTTATAATAACATTAGAATCATAGAGTAACAGGGGTTGAAATATTGAAAATGAGTCTTGAGCCTCGAGTCTTTGGAACACAATCCTATACATTACATGTTACAATGAACCTGACTTATGACCTGTTTTCAAGAATGCATCAAGTTGTTAAGTGCAAGCTACAACTCTATATATAAATGCAGCGTAACTATTACCAATATAAATGCACCTTTGAAAGAAAACTCAATCGCTACAAAACTGGCAAAACCTACACATGTCAAACATTCACAAATATGTCTATAAATTGTATTTCATTTATAGACTGATGTATTGATCAATATCTGCAATATTTTTTCATCAAATACAACACTTTATTTAAGCAAAATTCAGTTTAGTATAATAAAAGGATTATAAGTTGAACTGCCTGGGACATGGAAAACCTACATAGGACAAACAGGGAGGTCCTTTAAAGCAATATATGTGGAGCAGATAAGAAGCATGGTATCAAGTAAGCACAGCTGCAAGGAACATATTATATAAACAATGTCAATATGGACTTAAAGAAAGCTCAATGTCTGTGTCAGATATAGGCAAAACACTGAACAGAAAAGAAATGTTAAATGGATTTGCAATTTATTTAATGATACTGTCAGTAGTTCAAACAATATGTAGACTGAGGGGACAATACTGAATAATGAATTGAAAAGAAAGTGGAAAGAAGTTTTAATAGCCTAATTTAAGGTAATGTCACAGTATTTTCATAGCGAGACTGAGGAAAAACACAAAGTCCTCAATAGGCATAATTTGTGTCCTGGTCATGATTCAAACGGCGCCTCCCAAATACAAAACTGAGGGGTTAACACTTGAGGCAACTTGCTCAGCAGAAACTTCATAACCTATTTACACAATGAGAAGTTCTGAGCACAACTTACGAGGTCCACTCTCTTACTCCATGCATTTCAAGTCCTGAAGATATACTACTATTACCAGTGATGGTCTATTTAATTTTTAAGAACTTATTACTTAAGGTTGGTGTAACAGTAATGCTTCAGACGTACATCCAGAAGGTGCTTGGTTCGTATCTTGGCAAAGACACCATCTATCCTGACAACAGTTCTACGTAGACTTCCTCAGTGCCCCCAGGCAAATACTGGGATAGTACCTCAATTAGGCCACAACCATTTCCTTCCAAATCCATTCCAATTCATCATCTATCAACCATCCCATTATTCAACTTAAGTATACATTCTGTCTTAAATTTGTTGGCTATAACTTCAAAATTTTGCACATCGATTGTCAATTTACAAACAGCATTTCATGTATAATGTGTAGGTACATTTATGCTCTATTTCTGTATCAAATTTTTAGGGGCATTTCATCATCATCATTTATTAGTTATTAATTTTAATTATTATCAAACTGAAATTTAAAGAAAAATTTCACATGACTGCTTTGTTATCATCTTAATTCAACAATGACAACAAAAAATTATGTCAGTTGTATAATTTTTGAAGATATACTGTCACACATCATTTCAGAATCCTGAATTAAGAGGCATTAATGTCAATCCCGACTCAAAGGTTCATACATATGTCATGTTGTGAATGAATACAGGAAATTAAAAAGCAAGACATGGGAGATGCCACCAGTGGCATAACGTTCATACCACATTTTGTGAAGATCAACTGGCTTCAATAGTTGAAAGTGGGAGGTACACAACACACAGCATGTTGATCTTACAAGCCTATTTTCTTTAAGAGAGGGAACAAGGCTAGTAAAAAATGAAAACAGCATATCGCTACATGGAACAACAAATTACTTGACTTGGCCAATGATATACATGCCTAATTAAGCATCATGCCATGAAGATGCTGCAGTCCATTATAATTTTTAAATCCCTTCCACAGTGACATAAGTATTTAAAGAGATGTAAGTATTTAAGTTCTTCCTATCACTTCTACCTAAGGAGTAAGATTTAATATATTATAGTATCCAAATCAATTAATTATACTCAAGCTGAGACAACCTGAGTGCCTGCATTGATTAAACAAATCCTCTGTACCTGACATCTGTCATATCTGATGCAGTAGCAGAAAGAGAATGTCCATATAAAGTGTAAAAGTGAAAACACCTGGCAGTAAAATTCTAAGGTTCAGTAGTAGAGCACACCATTGGACATGATCCCAGGCTAATTCCTCCTACCTCTAAACAGTCTCCTCCCAAAGTTTCATCTTGATGTTAAATGGGTTCTTGACATAATTGCATATTGCATTCTCAGGCTGTGGATGGAGCTGGTATCTATATATGTTGAACAAGGAGTTGGAGAGCTTACAAGGGATGGGTTTCTGGCTTTGGCATAGGTCTAATAATCCTTCACCAAATAATGTTGTATGTGATGAAATTCTCACAAAGGCACAAGTATTTATAACATAAACGATATCAAACATATGTGTTTATTTACATACCTTTCAGGTGGCACATCTTTTCATGATATAGTTGTAATACAAACTGCCATTTCTCATGTATGCACCAACTTATCAATAACTAATCAGATGGATTTATATAAAAACAGTTAAGAGTAGGCACAACCTTTCTGACCATTTGAAAGCAATGAAAACAACTAATATATCTTCTTGTTTTCTGGTAAAACCAGACTGAATACTTATGTTTATTATATGCAGCACTCCAGAACACATTCTTGTCAAGGCACGATGCAAATGTCACACTATTATTGATGGTGGTACCCATCCACCAAAAGCTTTTTCTAATTCAAGTGCTACTGCAAGCGTCAAGTGGTCATGGTTTAAAGAGGCAACTGCCTGAAAGTAAAAGAACAAAACTCATTCTAATTATGTATATGGTGGACTGCAGACTTTGACTCTTTTACCTGCAAAAAATCATGCCAGAGTCAGCTGGCCATCTTCTGGCCTTGATGTGACTTCACACCAAGAGTGAAAGCTTGTTTTCAAAATGCTAGTCATTTCTAGGACAGTATCTGAGATATACAAATTCAGAAAATGAAAGATGAAGTCATGTTATATGAAGCTGAAGTTTCTTCAAGAATTCTGACTACATTTCATAGAAATCTCATGAAGTACTGTGTACATAATAATGGAATTGCATTTTTAAGGAAAGGTGAAGACTGGAGAGATAAATCAGGAATGAATGCTAATGTTAAACACAGAGAAAATTTTGAGTTTACTTCTGTTTGAAAGTTTGTACCTTTACACATTCATAATATACACGGATATGTCTATACCTCAAAGGTTTTTCTTTTCAATAATTATGAAGGTGCAACAACACAGTAACACTGTTTGAGACTTCACTTCGGTGAACTTTTGTACACTTACTTACTTACTTATTTACTAATGGAGTTGAGCCCTTCTTGAGAATCTCCGCCAATTCTGCATCTACTCAAGAATTTCCCAGCATTTTATGGAACCCAAAGGTTCATTACCATGTTCACCAGAGCCATCCACTGGTCCCTACTGTGAGCCACATCAGTCCAATCCATACCATTCCATCCTATCTCTCTAAGATCCATTTTAATATTGTCCACCCACCTATGCCTTGGTCTTCCCTGTGGTCTCTTTCCTTCTGGCTTTCCCACCGATATCCTATATGCATTCGTCTCCCCCATTCGTGCTACATGCCCTGCCCACTTCATCCTCATTGACTTCATTCCAATTATATTTGGCGAAGAGTTATGCAGTTTTCTCCAACCTTCTGTCACTTCATCTCTCTTCAGTCCAAATATTCTCAACACCCTGTTCTCAAACACCTTCAGTCTATGTTCCTCCCTTAATGTCAGAGACCAAGTTTCACACCCATATAGAACCACAGGCAAACTTATAGTTTTGTATATTCTAATTTTTATGTTTTTGGACATCAGACGAAAAGACAAACGCTACTGGACCAAATGGTAGCAAGCATTACCCAAGTTCAATCTCCTCTTACTTTCCTCCTCAATCAGGTTTTGATTTGTTATCGTCATTCCCAAATATCTGAACTGTGACACATTTTAAAAACATCTGTTTTCTATTTTTATGTCATGATTTTGCCCTGCATTTTGGTGACAAGACAGCAACATATACTTAGTTTTTTCTGTGTTTACTTCTAGGCCAACCTCCTTACTTGCATAAATTAAAGTTTGTGCGTCTTTCTTTATGGTATCTATATTATCACCCAGTGGATTCACATCATCAGCAGAGACCAACAGCTGAAATGTCCTGTTTAATTTTAGTCCCACCTGGTTTTCCTGGACGTTTCTAATGGCATATTCTAAAGCAAAGTTGAAAAGGAGTGGCGATAGAGCATCTCTTTGTTTTAGACCATTCTGGATAGGAAATTTATCAGACAAATATTTACTTTTACGGACTTTACTATACTGTTGTATTTTAGCGTCCTGTTGCACTGATTCGCGTCCATGATGTGTATGTATTGACCGTCTTCTAGTGCANGGCTGTGTGCATTATACAATTGTTGTTTTTAATTATTTTTTAGACTAGTGTAAAAATATTCAGTGCAAGATTTAGAAACAGAAGTATTCAGCATATCAGTAGCATTTTTCTGTATTTAGGTACTATCAATAACAAGATTATGGTCTTCTGCAATGTAATCTAGTGGAGAGATACTAATGTTTCAGAGGAACCTGCTACCTCAGGGCCACGCCATAGCTCAAGCGGTTAGTCGCTGGCTTCCGACCATGGCAGCCCGGGTTCAATCCAGGGTCTGGTCAAGTGGGATTTGTGGTGGGCAAAGTGGCGTTGGGGCGGGTTTTCTCCGAGTACTTCAGTTTCCCCTATCAATCTTCATTCCACCATCATAATCATAATCACCCAGGGCAGGATACAATAGGCCAATCAGTGGCCACAGTGCCGAGTGGACCTAGTTGGACTCCACCCCCACTAAGCAAACCTGCTACCTCCATTTTCAGAGTAGAAGGGGGAGACAGCAGGTTCCTTCGAAACGCTGGTACCTGTCTACCAGACTATGTGATGTTCCACCTCACAAAACTGTGAATTTGATAGTCACAGCCATAAGAACCTCAAATCTCACTATTCAATGTTTTGTACTACTTGTATGTTTAAGGAAAATGTAATTTTTCCAAACAGAAGTATGTATTAAAGTCACACAAATATGCCTGCTAAGTGATCATCCGATTTAATTTTTTTATAGTTCCTCTAAATTGAAGATATGGTCTATTCACATACAGAAATCACTATAGGTCAACATTATTAATTATCAATTAATTTTGTCTGTACCTGTATTCCAATGGGAAGGCCTTGTGAACTCAGCCCCAAAGGACAATGTGTGGCAGGCAATCCCAGAACATTGAATATGCCAGTATACGAAAAGTTGAATGGTTTCACTAGTGGTTCATTGTGGTATGGTGCTGGGATTGGGTGTGTTGGATATAGAAGCACACCATCATTTCCCAGCATTTCCTGTGAAGGAGAACATTATCAGACAAATATCACCAGTTTATCACAACTTCTAATTAACAGGAAAGTCTTTTGTTTCATTAGAACTGAATGTAAAATTCTATTTCCAGTATATTGGAGTCTTGACAAAAAAGTCCCCGATTCTAATGAACATACCCCAATTTACATGATAGTTGTATTCTTGGAAAATGCTGCATGATGCAGAAATGTGGATAAAATATATTTTTCCCATTGATTCAATGCTACAATTTTGTAACTGCGATCTTTCTTGGTTATTTAAAAGTAAAATAACATCGTAATAGCATAGAAAATGAATTCAAACACTGATTTGGCATTAAACAATGAGTTCAGTTTAAACACAGTGTTTACTATAACACTGGCAGTGACCAAAAATACTTCTGAAGATCATTTGATGAACACTACTTGTACGAGATGGAGATTGTAGAGTCATTAACAAAGGCTCCCTCCAGTATTTGGCCAACAATCATGACTTCTCAGGCAAAAGTAACTGAACCTTGTTCTTGCATTTCAGCACTTTCCTCCTTACTTTCTTTCAGAGTTTTCCTCAAGAAAGATTTCTAAATTATTTCTGATGCCCCACTGGGACTTTATCTTCCAAGATATTCTTAGTAGTTTCATCGTTGTGTATAAAGGTGTCTAATCATTTCCAATGACCCCTCCTGTTCACACATATTTAAACTTAAATGAAACAAAAATAACCATTACATTTTGGTGCTTCAGGAAATCCTGACTCATCAAGCTCACCAAAAGGCTCAAAAGATATAAACACAAATACTGGACTTCTCACACTTAAAAGCCAGCAATGTACTGACGGAATTCTTCATTTCTTTCACAGTATTACATGAACATTTTGGAACTGAATACAATGTACTAATAAGTCCTATAGTGCTAATATGAGTATTGTAGCACTAAATAAGAAGTATTAAGTGCAAACTTCCTCTATTTATCACAGACGTGAAAGTCTGTAATCAATTAGTAACTAACAGCCACTCAGTTCCTTGGCTACAGTGACTGATACCTGTTTCTACTGTTTTGCCATCAAGCAGCATACTACTTAGTTTTATATTCAGTTTGCTTTCCAGACATATTTATACTATTTACGTAGTTACTTTTTCCTACAAAATTCCTGTGCTTGCATTCTCTCTGTTCATTGCTCAAGGGACCTGCTGAGCTTCAGGTCCAGCTGACATAATCACAATAGTAAGTCTTGTGTATGTAAGAGCTGATAACACTAACACATGTGTGTTTGCTTTTAGAGCTTACTGCATCTGCACATTATCATTTCATTATCATTACACTATAGACTGCAAGGAACAAGCTGCAGAAAACTTCACTTATATAAACAGTTTACACAGTGAAGTTTTTATGTTGTGTAAGGCCGGCCACTTTCACAATACCTGATCCAACTTATAAATGTAAGTAAAGCTCATTAGAAACACTGGTGGCTGTAGAAGCAGGGTACAGCTCACTTGATGTACACCTCTGTACGAGCCAATTTGATACCTGTATTGTACATATATTAAAATAAAAGTCATACAGTACTCGATAAACAAAATGTGCCTTACTTGTAATTCTTCATATAGCTGACTGCACTGGCCAATCAGGTACCTGTGATGTTCACTTCCATGCTCAATACCCCATTTTTCAATAAGTGCTGTTGTGATTCCAATGAAAGTATGGTTAGACATACCTATCAACCATTTCAGTAACTCCCAGTACACATTGACTGAGCCCTGGAAAATTAATTAAATGTTACACGGTTTCCTCAGAAAATTAACATGGTTATAATAAATTACGTGCAGTGGATGACCACTATACTGCAATTCCCATTTAAAGCTTCTTTGAGTAGCAGTGAATATAAATATTAAACTTTGGAAAAATTTAAATGAAGGAAAAGTAACATTGATATTAATGCCTTGGGATCACTGACAAACAAACTCCGTGGCTTTAGTCTGCAAGCAAACTATACCAACTGAGTGACCACCACCTGTCAGCGATGTTAGTGCCAACTTTTGTGGATAGAGGGTGTTGCGTGGTCAGTGCAACGAATTCACATGGCCGTTAATTTCGGTTTTCTAGACTGGAGCTGCTATTTCCTTGAAACAGCTCCTCAGTTATCCTCACAAGGCTGAGTGGACCCCATTTCAGACCCACTGCTTCTCAGAAAATCTGGTAGCACCTCTGGATCTGTAGCCAGGAACTCTGACCACTAGACCACTGAGGCGGTCTGGGATCACTGACACTGAATATTAAATGCAGGAGAGTGTTAAACAGGGGAAATAAATGCACTGTATTATCACAGTTATGGGCAAAAGTACACAAAATAAAAACAAGCGAGACAGGTGAGCGAAGTACTTATTTGAATTTTTATGTTTTTAAATAAAGTGCAAGAAACAAATGTATATGAGTGAGGTCACATCTATCCATTCATCCACCACCTGTCTGCATGCTTTATCTGTGAAATTACTGACCTAATTTTGATTAAATCTGGTACTGTAGGTCTGCTTTAAAGGGCGTTAAGCAGATTTAATTTCAGCCGTAACGATACAGTATAACTTAGCATTCAAATAAAACTTTATCAACTGTCTGAAAAATAATTCCCCGTAACCCCCAGAAAGTAACAAATAATAGTACATGACATAAAGCAAAAATCTTATTTCAGATCCACACCTTTCATTTTGAGAGTTTTTTATGTATAGCATATTTAACAGAATAATAATAAGAATAATTTCTAGTATTGCAATATGTTTAGCTTTGCAACAGCAGATTTGTATCTGTATTAATTAAGCATGAAGTATGCACAATTACAAAGAACACAACCGAAAAGTATGTATACTCCATTGGAACAAATTCTGTTTTTTATTTACAAAGACAGAACTCGACTGAATTCAGGTAATGCTTGCTACCATTCAGTCCAGAACCTTTTCAGCTTCTAGTCTACTGTCTAAAAACATAAAAATTAGAATATAGAAAACTATAACTTTGCCTGTGGTTCTGCATGAGTGTGAAACTTGGTCTCTGGCATTAAGGGATGATCACAGAGTGCGGGTGTTTGAGAACTGGGGGCTGAGAATATTTGGACTGAAGAGAGATGAAGTGACGAGAGGTTGGAGAAAACTGCATAATAAGGAACTTCATAACTTGTACTCTTCATCAAGTATAATCAGAATGATGAAGTCAAGGAGGATGAGATTGGCAGGGAATGTAGCATGAATGGGGGAGGAGTGCATATAGGATATTGGCAGGAAAGCCAGAAGGAAAGAGGCCACTAGGAAGACAATGGTGTAGGTAGGTGAATAATATTAAAATGGATTTTCGAGAGACAGGATGGGGTGCCATGGACTGGACTGATCTGGCTTAAGATAGGGACCAGTGGAGGGCTTTTGTGAACACAGTAATGAACCTTCTGGTTCCACAAAATGCTGGGAAGTTCTTGAATAGCTTCACAACTGGCTGCTCTTCAAGAAGGGCTGAGCTCCATGAAGTTAGTTAGTTGTGAAAGAACTCATCATCATTCTACTTAACAGTGATCCATACCTTACAGTCCAGGAGGTGTTCAGAAAATGCTGGTCCATCTCTTGTCTTCATTTTAGCAAACCAAATGGCAGCCGAATTCTTCATTTTCTTTATCTGAACCTATAAATGTCAGATGAGTTCACATAAGGCTGAATCTTGTAAGCTAAGTGTTATCAGGACAGTCAAATAAAGGAGATTTTGTTAAGTTGGATATTGAAATGGACGTCACAGATTATGCTATGAGGATGTAGGTTGCATCAACACAGCTTATGAAATATCCAACGGTTATCTTCACTATAAGTAGTGATAGTCTGATTGACTGATACTTAAGTTTCTTTAACACTGCTGCTTCAACAACAAGGGTTACTTACCATAAAATCAGACTGTAAGATAATCATAAATTATGAGTAGGTAAGGATTTGGAAGGACATGGTCATGGCCAGTTTCAACATACTATTCTGAGAGCCGCCTGCAAACACATGTTACCAAAAAAATATCAGTCATTACATTATACTTATCTTCACCCACCACTCACAAATCAGTGTTTTCTTCTTGATCTGGTTAAACTGAAAATACAATATCCCCGCAACATCCTACCCTGAGCTTCTATGAATCAAATCCTTATGGGAATTTATAACAAATTATAAAATGAAGCTGTATCAGAAGCAAATATTAGGAGAAGAGCATGAGATGCCAAGTACAGGATTACTTGGATTACTTCAAGCCTATAAAAGAGAAAAGGATAATGACGATTACGAAGGGGTACCCAAAAGAAACCGAACTTATTTTTTTTAAACTTATTTATTCAAATTTTAAGCACAAACCTTCAATCCCCTTCAAAGTACTCTCCACTTACACTAATACACTTGTCTAGTCTTTTATTCCATTTTTCAAAACATTGTCTAAATTCATCTTTTGAGATGCTTGACAGCGCCTCCGTCGTTTTTTCCTTTCATGTCTCTTTTCATTCGAGGAAACAAAAAAAAGTCGCACGGGGCAAGGTCGGGTGAGTATGGAGGGTGAGGAACAGGGGTCATACCATTTTTGGTCAAGAATTGTCGTACAGACAGGGCTGTGTGAGCAGGGGCATTGTCATGATAGAAAAACCAGTCACCCGACTGCCACAAATCTGGCCGCTGAGCTCCAAGTCACTCCCGACAGCTCCACAATTTCTTCAGTGGTCCGTTATCGATCTTCCTTGATGATTTCACGAATTTTTTCAACATTTTCATGTGTTCAGGCCGTGGAAGGACGACCAGAACGAGGTTTGTCATCAATTGACATTTCACCATTTTTGAAACGGGAAAACCACTCAAACACTTGAGTTTTCCCCATAGCATCATCCTTGTACACCGTTTTTAACATTTCAAGAGTTTCTGTTCCACTTTTCCCAAGCATAAAGCAGAATTTCACCGCCGCACGCTGTTCACGAAAATCAGCCATTGCAAAAATGATGATCACACAAAACAGATGTCACTATAAACTCTGCCGAAACTAGTCCTTACCTTCTGAAGCAATGGTAGTCGGCTTATCGACTCAGGAATGTTAGCTCTATGCGCTCATAGTGGCAAAACGCAGTACTACAAAAGCTCTGCCCACAAAAAAATTAGTTCGGTTTCTTTTGGGTACCCCATCGTACATATATATTAACACTCTGAAAGATATTCATAAACGTATCTAAAGCTATCTTATATTTGTAACAGTATGCACATATCATGAGCACGCGGTAGCGTCGTTGGTTGAGGCACTATGCTACAAGCTGGAAGATCACGGGTTCAAGTCAAGATGAGGTGGATTTTTTCACATGACCTAATCCTCCCAGCCGCATTATGGCCCTGGGATTGACTCATCCTCTAACAGAAATGAGTACCAGTGATCTTTCTGGGGGGATAAAGGGCAGCCAGCATGTAAGGCTGTAAGGCACATCATCTGTGAGTAGATTGTCTAGATAATGTGGGACCCACATCTCACAACCCTATGGGCCTTCATGGCCTGGTATAGGGACAGCATTATACAAATATCAAGATTGAACACAACCCCATGGAAATATACACAAAATGTTTATTCTCAGTACCTCAGACTACAACTGACAGAAGGTGAAAGGTGGACCATTTCTCAAGTTATGAGGAACCAGAAGCACAAACATTTGCTGTACACTTCTGGTTTATCTGAATGTATTGGGAGTACACACTCTTCTGCTGCACTTATTACCTTCTGTGCTTTGATGCCATATGCCTTATCAAAATAAAACACAGCTTTGCGGAGAGCTACTCTTATCTCTGGGTGTACTGCACTTACAACAGCTGATCCTCCATCATCCTCCATATAAAACAATTGTATCTTGTGGATATCAACCTGAAATATTTACACAAAACAATGAGATTACAATTACGGCATCCCATAGAACAGAAACAGGTAATATACAGACAGAGTAATGAATCAGGTCCCGGGATAAGAACAAATAGGATATCTACATCTGATTACATCACAGCTGTAATAGCTGATATACTGTATGTAAATGCAGTGAGCCACTTCCTTGTCACTAGAGCTGCACCAGTTTAAGGCTCAGTACATTAAATGCTGCCCATGCCCTAATCAGACAGGGACACTTGGGCTGGGTTGTATTTGGGTACTGAAATTATGTGTGTAGGTATGCAGTAACATTTCCTAGCCATGCAATGCACTGTTGTAACAATACACACTTGCATTCCACCTGGTTGACTGCTGCATTTTTTTCAATACCGTTATCTGAAAGTTAAACTCTAGCAAGCTGCCCCATAATACTGAAGGAGTTAAAATCCAATATTTCTGTAATAACATCCTGGGCACCAGTATCACATAGTGCAGCCTTGCAAATCTTTCCCTTAACACAATCACTGCAAAAATGCATTCAGGAGGTTTCTACATTTTTTAAAATTATTGTCAGTTTTGTTTTATTGAGGGAGCTCTAGTAGATATTATGGACCCTTCATAGTTCCAACATTTCCTATCTAGATGGCATAAAGGTTCATAAACACAAAAATTAAAGTGGGGACATGCCAATGAGGCAGGACTGCAGTAAGACTGCAAGTGCATATTATGTCAAGATAAATGAAGATTTATTTAAAACAGTGATACCAGTCTGCATGTAAATAGCTGTGAAGATAATGATACTGCATCATTAGTTAGCAGTGATAACAGTCCTTGAGAGATTGGTTTACTCATTTGCAAAACATCATTTGTTCATGAACCACCTGGTGCAAAGAGGAGACAGGTTGGTGGCTGTGAAAACAATCTTGATGCAAATCAATACTAAATATTCACTAAGTATTTCTTTATAATTCAGTCTTTAAATTATTCAGTTAAATGGATTAGTTTGGGAGTTCTTCCCCTTCTCCCTCCTTCTTCAATATCATGTATTTCTTGACAAACCTATGACCTGCAGGTAAGGTTTTGAACCAGCTATCCAGTGACTGCAATGAAGATCACTTGCCTTCAAACAAGAATACATGTGAAATAAAGTTTGAAAACAACAGAAGGGTAAAGTGAATGGCTGCCAACCTTAGCATCTAGCTGGAGTCTATCAACATTGGTGCCAGCAATGATTCGCAATGTTGGCAAAAGGTCTGCAGCAAATCTACACATAGGACCAACCCCCAAGAAGCTTTCTTGTTCCTCAGATGGACATGGATGTTGGCCTCGATTTGAGACAATTCCTAAAATATTAATATAATATATTACTGTGTTGGTATAACTGTGAAACAAATTAAAAATCCTTTTACATACCTCAACTTATTAACTGCTGATGCAAATCTTGTAGCAGGACAATTAAGCACATAACTGCACACTTAAGTTTAATAACCGTAATAAAAATGAATGCAGTCAAAACTGTATCATTACTGAAATAACGGTATAGTTGCAAAACTACTCACACTACCTAGTATCACAAATTTACTGTTGCTCATATTTCATTAATATATTCATCACATAAAATAAATGTTTCTGCTAAAACCTGTACAGCCTTATCAATATTACTTACATATTTTTCACATTACAATCGTTTTGTGTGATAACCTTTCTAATGAAACTGCTAAGCCTGATTTAAGCAATATGTTATGTAAGCTTCGTATCTGATTGATATGACCTAGAAATAAATTTACTTGACAACATTCAGTGCAGTCCCTTGACACCAAGTCTCATTACAATCATGTTATTTGTTTCAGAGTTGAAATAGTCAGAAAGACAAACACCTCATCACTGATCTCCTTAATGCAGCTTGTGCAAAGAATGCAAACAAATTTAATTCTGTGGTATAATGGTTAGCACACCTGCTTTATAAACAGAAACTCCTGTTGCAATCTCAATGGGGAGATCTGATATCCTGAGTTTCTCAACAATTTCTCTCCTTACCCCCCCCCCCGGAGAAAATTTCAGGTATAGCATATCAAAACAGAACACACCCCTCTCTACTTACTGCTCTTCACATCATCATTCAATGCTTCATAACCATTGGAGTTGACACAGCAATCAAAAAAGAATACAGGAAAAAAATAATATATTTTGCACACATACGTGTAATTAGTGTACTTAATTAATAACCAGAATTGAAGCTGTAGAAACAAATATAATACAGAGAAGCTAAAAGAAATATTATTACAACCACAAAGGACAAACTTTCCGCATTCCACTGAAATGTGTAACTCATACACACACAACCATAGTTCAAAACTTTTGACTTGTTTCTGAAGAATAAGTAATCAACTGAACCAATTTTCCTTAAAGAATTAATTTAAATAAATACAATTTGAATGCAACTTATCACAAATGCTATAAAAGAATTTATTTTGGTATCTAAACCCAGAATAAGTGAAGGGTGTCCGAGATCAATATGCTGATAAGAATACTTGGATCTAAGAAAAAAGAAGAAATAACAGGATAGATAAAATTATGTAATGACCTAGGATGTTCCATATCCTACAGTGCCAACCGGTACTTGGATTTACAGAATGTAAATTAATCCATATTCAAATTCAAATATAAGGCCTTATGGGAAATGACTAGTTGGGAGTCCTAGGGACAGATGAAAACATAATATAGAAATGAATATTACAGAAATGGAATATGAAGATTAGGTGGATTGAAATTAATCAGGATGGCAGGCTTTTGTGAACATGGTGCTGAATATTCAGGTTCCATAAAAGCAGAAATTTCTTGGCAAGCTCAGGAATTGCCAACTTTTCAAGGAATACCCTGTACCATAGAGTCAGTCAGTTTGTCAATACACAGAATGTATTTTGATTATTTGATGCTCTTAAATCTTAGCCTGTCATAAAAAATTATACAAGAAGCAAAGTGAAGTGGTAAGGCTAAAAATGATTGATACTGCTGTTACATATTCCTTTTTATCATATTTCCTCACCTTTGGAGGGTTTGTGACCAAATATACCATTAAAGAAACAGGGCATACGGATGGATCCACCAATATCGGACCCAATGCCCAAAGGTGACCCAGCTGCAGCCAATAGGCAACCCTACAAACATAAACATGAACAGATTCCTTTATGTATATTATTTTAGTGGGCTATATTCAGGCTCAGGCAGTTTCAGTCTCAGATCAGGCCATATGCAATTTGTGGTGGTCAAAATGACAAACACCTGCTTTGGTACCTCCCTGCTAATCGTTCCATTTATGTCAACAACCAATTAGCATTTTCTCATCAGTATTTAACAGGCATGAACAGGCAGCAAAATATCATTTCACTCCTCAGTGAAAAGCTGGTAACTACCACTGAGCTATGGAACAGCCTTCTTGATACAGACTCCAGCACAGTAAATTCGCTTAGTGGGGGGGTGGAGTCCAACTGGGTCCACTCCATCATCATAATCACTGTGTGATTATGATGATGGAGAATTTGGTGGAATGAAGATTGGCAGGGGAACTGAAGTACTCGGAGAAAACCAGCCCCAGTGCCACTTTGTCCCCCAAAAATCCCACTTGACCAGACCCAGGATTGAACCCGGGCTGCCGCGGTGGGAAGCCAGTGACTAACCACTTGAGCTATGGCATGGCTTAGCACAGTAAAACATAGTCTGATATGTGTTTATAACAATACACCATAAATGGAGTCTCTAAAATACATGTGTACACTGGCAGTGGCTCATTTCAAATGCATAATCAGTTTTATCACGATGTTCTGTCTTTCTCTGCAGACTGGTGACAGTTTGGACAGAAAAGTTTCTGGTTTGGCATTTGGCTGAAGCTGTAATGTGCATAACATAACTGAAAACGACAAACTGTCATTTTAAAATTGTAATGACACAAATATATACGTATATGAATGAACTTCAGAACAATGTCAAATTTGCAGTTCTCATAGTGGTGGCTATGGAAAGTTCTATATTCTGGGATATAATGCCACACAGTTCAGCAAAAGTTGTTTGGAAGACACATATCATTTCCATCTTCAGAATCAAAGAGTAAGCTAAACAAGAAACATGCATGAAGCAGGCAGCTTACTCTTTCAATCTCAAAGAAGGAGATGATGTGTTCTTTTGAAATACTGGCTGACTTCCACTGGATTATACGTACAAGTATATCCCATAAGAGAGAACTTATCTCCACAAAATACTAAGCACCTTGGTGACCTGGTACTCTGTTTTCCACTTTCAACACATCTGTAAGCAGTATTTTTACAAAATGTGATCAAATATTCATTTATAAGAAGAAGTTCTTGGAAGAACTAACTGTCACAGACTGCAAAGAAAACGATGCATCTGACAATTCTTCTATTGTTGTGTGTGTGTTCATTGCCATGGCAATGTTTTTACAAAGACACTGCCTAACAACAAAAGGAGGGATACACTTTACTGAGCATTTGCCTAGCAACAATAGAAGGGATACATACAAGGTCCGTATAAAAAGTATCGGGAAAAATCTTTCCCTTGCGTGACTGTACACCGCAGCACGCTCGCACTGTGCAGGCGTGGTAGTGGGGGTCTAACCTTTAACACGCGCCAAGCGCCATTTGCCTGAGCGCGTTCATAGAGGCCAGGCCGTGTTTTCAGTGGACCCCTGTCGAGTGAGTTGGTGCAAGCGCAGAATGCAGCGAACGATTGAACAGAGGTACGCCATCAAGTTTTGTGTTGGACTGGGGAAATCGGGTACGGAGACGTTGGGCATGATTCGCCAAGTGTTCAAGGATGAAAGCATGTCACAAACTTCAGTTTTTAAGTGGCACAAGCTCTTCAAAAGTGGCCGACAGAGTGTGGAGGATGAGCCCCGTGGTGGACGGCCGTCGACATCAAGAACCGACGACAACGTGCAACGTGTGCGTGACATACTCAATTCAGACCATCGGTTAAGTGTGCACATGATTGCTGATCATGTTGGCATTGATAAGATGACAGTGCACACCATTATCACTGAAGATTTGGTGATGCGAAAGGTCTGCGCGAAACTTGTCCCGAAGGTCTTGACGGACGACCAAAAGCAGAGACAAGTGGCTGCTTGCGAAGACCTTCTGCAACGCATTGAGGAAGACCCCGGCTTTCTGGACAACGTCATCACGGAAGACGAAAGTTGGATATTCGAGTACGACCCGGAAACAAAGCGTCAAAGTTCCGAATGGCACACTTCGGCATCACCTCGTCCAAAAAAGGCGCAAATGAGCAAATCCAGAATGAAAACCATGCTCATCATTTTCTTCGAAGCCCAGGGGGTGGTCCACTACGAATTTGTACCTGAGAGGCAAACAGTGAATGGAGCTTTTTACCTGGAAGTGCTAAGAAGAATGAAGAGAAGGGTCAATCGGGTGAGGCCAGCCATCGCCGGAAATTGGAAATTGCATCACGACAATGCACCCAGTCACACCTGCTCCAAGGTGACCGACTACCTGACAAAAAACGGCATCGCGACGGTACCCCAACCCCCTTACAGTCCCGACTTGGTGCCAGCAGACTTTTTCCTGTTCCCGAAAGTGAAATCCTCCCTCAAAGGGCACCATCATGGGACCCTGAGTGCCGTCAAAGAGGCTTGCACGCGGACCCTTAAGGACCTTCCGGAATCCGCCTACCAGGGAGCCTTCGTATCATGGCAACGCCGTTGGCAATGTTGTATTGATGCATAAGGGATGTATTTTGAAGAATTTTGAGGCATTGTAGCAATATCTGAAATAAATCTATTTTCCCAGAACTTTTCCCGATACTTTTTATACGGACCTTGTATACAAACACACAGACTGAAGGGTAGGATTTATAAAGTACACCGTTGTGACGGGCTCAAGCGCCATGATGTATATACCAAGTTTCACAAAGACTGGTTCTGACATTCAAAAGTTAATAGGGGCACGGATTCACAGACATACAGACCACATGGAAATTGTATAAGCCAAATTTATGAAAGTAGGCTAAAAAATAAAACCATAAAATCCCAGTATTTAATATTATTAACCTAATGGCCAAATAAACGATTCTTATTATATATACAGTAATCAACAAGTATAACATAACCTTACGAGGTCTGCAAATAAAATTCCAAAACTGATTTTGTTACATAGCAGTTTGATGTGATTAACACATTAGATATTCAGCTTCTAAGAACACATTAACAAACAAACCTGGATTTTATGACCCGTCCCATATATCACTGAACCTTACCTCTCCTCCTGAAGAGCCTCCAACTATGTGGTTTGTGTTGTATGGATTGTTGGACCGCCCATAGACCGTATTATTGCTCTCCCACCACATGCAGACCTCTGAAACGTTTGTTATAGCAAAAGGAATTGCTCCTGCCTCTCTCATCAGTGCTATGGTGTCAGCATCTTGTGGGGCTTTAACATTTCTCCTGCAGTGCAGACCAGCTGTATGGGATAACCCTACAATATAATGAGCACACTGCATTACTGTAGTAGCATAAAAATCTTAAATACCATCAGAGTACAGGTCCTGTCACCAATCTGTAAGCTTGGTCTTAACTCAGTAACTGGAGATTGGTGGGTAGGTGAGACAAAAGGAAAACCCACTGTTCTACTACTTAACCTGAGTGTAGGTGGTGGAAGTGATATTTGATAGTGGCTGTGTCATTTCTTGAACTTACAAGATTTCATCAGGTAAGACAGTTTTAGAATGTATGACATAAAAGCACAACAAATGCAAAGTTTGTGAATGGTGGTGATAGCATTATCACATGGGCATTAGGTAGAAAAAAACTGGAATGATCATAACACAGAAATTCAAGTATAAAAAATAAAATCAGGCACTCAATTACTTTACACTTATTGGTGTGGGAATGATAAATTTCAGTCAGAAAAGCTGGTCCCTTTGTCTAAGCAAAATACTACAGAGACATATGATGTGGAATGTGAAAGTAAAGTTCAATATATTCCAGACCTCAGCATTACATGAAGGCAAGGCTCAGACTTCATGCTTCTACTGCTTCAATCCACAGAAAAGATCACAGTAATTCTCAGACAGGAGTTTGGTAGGCTTCTAAACACAGTGAATGATGGCAAAGAGAAAAATCCTAACACTGCTGAGAAAATTACTGTAGTATTGATTTACTGACGTCATACCGAACCTAAGCCAAAAACGTTATGGTCATACCTGTAACTTGGAGACAGTCCTTAGTAGAGAAAGGCACTCCGAGAAAAGGAGTATCTTTTTCAATATCTTGTACTGATTTAACTCCAGACTGAATGAATTCATCAACTTTACGAGCATCTTCTAATGCTTCACTAAATCTTTCATCTACTACACAGTTCAAAATAGGATTCACTTCTTTTATTCTGGCAATAAAGGTTTTTACCACTTCTACACTTGTCACCTGTGAAAAAATTAAATACATATATGAGAAAATAGCTTCACTAGAATTCAATTCTATGTAATATGTACAAATTAGCAGAATAAAATTCTGAACTCTTTTAGTAATGAATTTCTAACCCATAATATCAACATATCTTGTACCCATTTCGCCTCTTTTCATGCTTACTTTTCACACAGGCACATGAAACATGGTTCAACAGTATACATAAATTTTGTGATAAGAAGCTGCAGTGTCACCCAGAATTTAAAACATTCTGGAAAACATAAAAGTTTCAGATAATGAACAATATCCAGGCAACATTCTTACAGCCTGAAGATTACTGTCTTCTGGGTGCTGACACTGTGTAGTCTGGTAGATACATATCATAGTCAAAGCCATGAGAACATTGAATCTGACATCCTTACATCATGATACCAGACCACTCTCTTGAGATATTTACAATAAGAGAATACTAGAGGCCGCTGCACACGTGGTCCTTTGCATCCACACTCACAATTTATGTTATAAATAACTAACTTCATTGAGCTGAGCCCTTCTTTAGGAGCTGCCAATTGTGCGGCTACTCAGGAACTTCCCAGCATTTTATGGAACCCAAGAGTTCATTACAATGTTCACAAGAGCCCTCCACTGGACCCTATCCTGAGCCACATCAATCCAGTCCATACCATCCCATCCTATCTCTCTAAGATCTATTTTAATATTGCTCACCCACCTACATCTTGATCTTCCTACTGGTATCTTTCCTTCTTACTTTCCTATCAATATTCTATATGCATTCTTCTTCTCCCCATTCATGTTACATGCCCTTCCCATCCCATTCTCCTTGACTTCATCATTCTAATTATATTTGGTGAAGAGCACAAGTTATGAAGCTCCTCATTATGCAGTTTTCTCCAACCTCTTGTCACTTCATCCCTCTTTGGTCCAAATATTCTCCTAAACACCCTGTTCTCAAACACTCTCAGTCTATGTTCCTCCCTTAATGACGGAGACCAAGTTTCACACCCATACAGAAAAACAGGCAAAATTATGTTTTTTTCTTCAATTTTTACTTTTTTAGACAGCAGACAAAAAGATTAATTGGCTCTGGACCGAATGGCAGCAAGAATTACCTGAATTCAATCACCTCTTAATTAATCAAGTTATGATTTGTTACAGTTGATCCCAAATATCTGAACTGTGCCACATTTTCAAAACATCTGTTAGCTAGCTTTATGTCTTGACTTTACCCAGCATTCTGGTGACAAGACAGCAACATATACTTAGTTTTATCTGTGTTTACTTCTAGACCAACCTCCTTACTAGCAACAGTTAGATTTCTGTGTCTCTCTTCATGATATCTATATCATCACCCAGTAGATTCACATCATCAGCACAGACAACAGCTGATGTGTGCCATATATCCTTCCTAATGGCATATTCTAAAGCAAAGTTGAAAAGGAATGGCAATAAAGCATATCCTTCTTTTAGACCATTCTGGATAGGAAAATTATAACACAAATATTTACCTATATAGACTTTACTATACATTTTGTTTAAACACATTTTAATTGGCCTAACTAATTTCATAGATACCTCCAACTCTATGAGAATATTGTACAATACTTCCCTCCTAACTGAATCATAGACCTTCTTAAATCTACAAATAGCTGATGTACCACCTCTATGTACTCCCATTTCTTCTCCAGTATCTGACAAATGCAAAAGATCTGGTCAGTAGTTGAACTGTTACATTGAAACCCACATTGATGATTCCCAGTAATTTCATCTATATACATATAAACTTAACTTTGTGAGAAGAATATTGGACAAAATTTTGTACGAAGTTCATAGCAGTGATAGCCCACAATAATTACTACAGTCAGTTTTATCATCATCCTTGTGAGCTGGCATGATAAGAGGCTCCTTCAACTGATCAGACAAGTCGTCCTTACTCCAAATAGAATTAATTAGCTAATAGATCTTAGAATGTAGTATTTCACCTCCTGCTTGAATCAGTTCTGCCAGAATTTTATCATTACTTGGCGATTTATACCTTTCCAACTTTGCAATAGCATTCAACCTCAAAAGGACTATGATCAGGTACTAACGGCTCAGGTGTATGTATTTCAAACTGCTAACATCACTGGCCCTATGTGCAATCAATAACTGAGAAAAGTAGTTCTTCCACCTATTCCTAATGCTGTGGGAATCTGCAAGCAGATCACAATGGGGTACCCAAAAGAAACCAAACTAATTTTTTTGTGGGCAGAGCTTTTGTAGTACCACGTTTTGGCGCTATGAGCGTATAGAGCTAACATTCCTGAGTCGATAAGCTGACTACCGTTGCTTCAGAAGGTAAGGACTAGTTTCGGCAGAGTTTGTAGTGACAACTGTTTTGTGTGATCGTCGTTTTTGCAATGGCTGATTTTCGTGAACAGCGTGCAGCGGTGAAATTCTGCTTTCTGCTCGGTAAAAGTGGCACAGAAACTCTTGAAATGTTAAAAACGGCGTACAAGGACGATGCTATGGGGAAAACTCAAATGTTTGAGTGGTTTTCCCGTTTCAAAAATGGTGAAATGTCAATTGATGACAAACCTCGTTCTGGTCGTCCTTCCACGGCCTGAACACATGAAAATGTTGAAAAAAATCGTGTAATCATTAAGGAAGATCGACAACGGACCATTGAAGAAATTGTGGAGCTGTCGGGAGTGACTTGGAGCTCAGCGGCCAGATTTGTGGCANTAAAAGACTAGACAAGTGTATTAGTGTAAGTGGAGAGTACTTTGAAGGGGACTGAAGGTTTGTGCTTAAAATTTGAATAAATAAGTTTAAAAAAAATAAGTTCGGTTTCTTTTGGGTACCCCCTCATATATTTACTCACTCTCAGTCTCTTCCCAACTTTTGCCACCACAAGATAGTGGCCAGTATTACAATCTGCTGCCCTTAATGATTGGACATCAAATATACCTGAATGCCATCTCCTATCTGTCAAAATATGGTCAATCTGTATCTCTGTCTTTCCATTAGGAATTCTCTAAGTACATTTATAAATGCTCTGATGTGGGAACATCATACTTTCAACAATAAGATTTTACTACTCTAACCCCATTATCATTATTCACTTTGTGCAAACTCTCATTCCCAACTGTTGGTTTGAAAAAGTCTTCTCTACCTACTCTGCCACTGAAGTCTCCTAAGAAAATTTTCTTATGGTATTTAGGGAATTTATGAAATACACATTCTAGTTCTTCATAGATGCCATCCTTCATATCATCGATTTTATCCTCTGTTTTGGCATGAACATTCAGAACAATAATATCACACCAGAGACCTCTTAGTATTATGTGATATAACAGTTTTTTCTGTACTAATTGCTGCAGAATAACTATTAAACATACAAGAAATTCATGCAGTACACTGCCAGATGATCTGTATAATGCAATAATTTTTTGCCTTGCACCTATCAGTTCTATACCAGTAACTTCTATGTTATTTGTATACTTCTCCCTGTAATTCATTCCAAGGGCTTATATCGTAATATGTTCTTAGAGCTGTAAATAGGTATTCCACCCCCTGTATGTTCTTTTCTACAAAAGTGTGAAACTACAGTATAACCTTCTAATATACATTGAGTTTTTTTCATTTAAGACCATGTTCCTATAAAAGATATCTCGGGTGGTAATTTGAAGGAATGCTGTAAATAACTTTGTTTCATTTCTGATTTTGATGTATTATTTCAAGTGCTTGCTTTGACTTTTTTATAAAGATAGAAGCCTTTGGGATCCAGTCTCTTTTATTTGTTTCCCTAATTTGAAAGCCTAAACTATTACATCTGAATTTATTTCTTTTGTTCATTGCCTATTATTTCACTTATTTCTTGAGTAATTTACTCTTTACCTGCTGTACTTAAGGTGCTGCCCATGCCTTGTATGATAAGCTCTACTTACACTGCTTAACACCAGCATTTTTACATATCTTATATATGTCCACATTTGCTTCCAAAATTTCCTAATTGACTACTTATTCTTTTATTATTTTATTATTTATTGTTTAAGAAACTAGATATATTACCGTTTTATTCTCAGTATCCATTTTCATTACTAATTTTTGTAATTGATAATATCTCCTTATTTAAAACAAATTCAGAGTTATATGATATCAACACCAGTGGGAAAAATAATTTTTACCCTTCACAACCAAGGTTGTCTATCTATAAAAATGGTGTTTATTATATAGGTATAAAGGTATTTAATCACTTACCGCCTTGCATAAAAAAACTGTCTGATAATAAGAATCAATTAAAAATACTCTAAAAAACTATCTTCTATTGAATTCTTTTTATTCACTTAAGGATTATTTTAATAGTAATTACTAATTTTAATGTGAATTTTTAAGGATTTATGTATCATAGGTGCTTTATTTTGGCATAAATATGTTATCATCTACCTTTTGATATGATGTTTTTTTTTAAATATTAAATTTAAGATGTTATGTTTAATGTTAAAGTAGGAAGATAAACAGTTTGGTTTATGATCTGACCTATGCTTATTTTCATAGCATGTCTATTTTAGTTACTTGTCTGTGACTGGTTCTATGTTAAGCGTATTTGTAGCCTAGATTGTATCGGGAATTTTACAATGGACTAAATAAATAAATAAATTACATCATGCGTAGTTGTTATAATGAGAATATTCATACAGGTTAGGACAGAAAGTGCTTTCCTTTAAAGTTTTTATACAATTCTTTATCTCATTTCTTGCAATATCATTGGCACCGCCCATAATTACTACGTGGTCCCATGTGAATATCAGTTTACTCTCCTTTTTCACAGCATTTATATTTATACAATTTCCAGCTTTTCTCAATTGAGTCTCATCAGCAACTTCGTTTAGTACACTGAATCTATTTCTCACTGAAACTGAAAACTGTTGTGTCACCAGTTTCCTTCTTTTCAAATTTCCTTTAGATACATGGTTCCTGCCATTTTTGTTTGTTTCACGTTCCTGAATATGTGTATCCTGTATTCCTTCACTCTGGGGATACAAAGAATATGGCCAGCAGGATAATACTAAAATGGATCTTAAGGAAATAGGTTGTGTGAATGAGAATGGGATTATAATATAAAGATCCAATGTTATGGCAGGCCTTCAAAATTATAGCAGCAAATCACCAGGTGTCATAACAATAGGAAATTTCATGACAGATTCATATTTAAGTGTGACTGTGAAGTACCAGGCAGCCCACTATAAACTTACTTTCCGTGTCCGTATCTTGTGAGCAATTGCAGTGGCAGTATCAAGTAGAAGGAGATTCTCAATAGGCGGCATCTTCTCTCCAGAGCCATGATACACCACCCAAAACAAAACACTGGACACTACTTCTACCACCCGGAAAAGTAAACGCTGGCATATAATTTTAAACTCTTTTGTCCAGCTTGATGTCATCTAAAATGAAATAATATGGGCAAAATACTCATATTATGTGAACGGATATTTCTGTAAAGCATGCTTTGTATGAATATGGAATGAACAAAATGAACTAACCAAGAGTTAATGGCATGTCATTATATAATGTTATGTCATCTACTGCTGTTATGTAGCACTAAGGAGAGATGGAAATGTTTTCAAAGCAGTCATGGCCTAGTTTAATGTACTATACTTCAATAATCACCTTGCACTCTCACTCCAGAAAATATGTTGGGATTGTTTTCAACACAGTATGAGATAATGTGCAAAATATGGCCTAAATCGCCCTATTTTACCTAACGTAATCCTGAAATTACCTATCCAAACCAACTCAATCCAAAGGGCCGTGCCATAGCTCAAGTGGTTAGTCACTGTCTTCCAACCACAGTGGCCCGGGTTCGACCCCGGGTCTGGTCAAGTGGGATTTGTGGTGGACAAAATGGCGCTGGGACACGTTTTCTCTGAGTACTTCGATTTCCCCTGCCAATCTTCATTCCATCAATTGCTCCACAATCACCCTCACCTATCACCTGGGGCTGGTACAATAGGCCAGAAGTGGCCGCCGTACGAGGGACTTAGTCCCACCCCACTAGCAATAAAAAGAACACAATCCAAATGTACTGAAGTACCAGCACTGCATGGTCATCCTGTACCATGTCATGGTAAGGGGCCAACAGTATTCTGAACTTCAAATTGAAGTTCTCTAAATAGATTTCTTTGACAGAAATGTCTCAATAAGAGCACAAACTGAAAAGTTTTCCCAAAAAATAATTTAAGCTGAATTCTGTTCCAGCAGCAAAAATTATACATGCACAAGGGACAAAGATATCATCATCAGTTGCATGGCAAAAAGAGGCCCTTGTCAGTCGACTGATTAAACTTCTGCTGGTCCTCAACAGCACAGTCATTCCTGGCTTCAGGTCTCCTTCAGATCCATGCCGAAGGTTTCTATTATTTCCTAGACATGTACATGATTTGAGGTGGAGCCTCCTTTTCAACGAGGGGAGGTGTTGGGCTATCTATGGCTTTCATTTATATTCTTCAGCATTTACATGACTGACATATTCTTATACTTCTTTCTAACAAAGACAATATTCTCTGGGTAACAAAATAACATCTTTCCAATATGGATGAAGATGAAACAACAAATTACTAGAGTCTGGCTGGATTATTTTCTTCTATCAAACATCATAATTTGATGAAAGGACAGAGGCTATTGGGTTATTAGTTTCAGAAACTGCCTTGATACAAAATCCCTATACTGAATTCGAAACTGTTTAATTTATAATATACATATCTGTAGCACAATGTGCAAACACCTCTTCCAAATAACAGTGACTGTTCAGACTGCATGTAACCTCTAGAAACAAACAGTCTTCTGCTCAGGGATCTAATTAAGTACAGACTCTGAATTAATTGTCTGTCCCACCGTAATTACAAACAATATTAAATTTTAGTTCAATGATAATTTGCATGACTTTTATTAAATGTAAACCAATATCATCCGTAAACTCATTCAAACGCTTTAGCAGGAAACAATAATGAACATCGTACGTACATTCCTTGTTGCGTCGACACAATTCTCGTTAATACTTTCAGAGATCCAGTTTACGCTGCTATAATCCTCTACACTTTATGCTAACACGTATAATTCACTATGCGTACGTGTAATGTGCCAATGTCAGGTACATACTACTTCATAGAAAAAAACAAACTGACATTAAAAATTACAGTCTCAAGCAGGTACCAAAGTCTATTAGGAATAAGATATAATCAACACCCATTAGTTTTATTTAACATGTAACACAGTTACCAAACTTTACGCTCTGTCAAAATCAGTCACCAATGCGACGGGTTACAATGTCCACTACACTTAACTACACATAACCGCAACGACCGCAACACTATGGCACAAAAGGCAAATGACATGTCACATCACTCAGGTCCCTGAAGTGCATTGTTTGTTGTCTGTCATTGTACCCAACCCTGAAATAACAATTTCATTTTGACAAGTATGAGAAGTATCACATTTGTTACATGTGAACACAAAATGTAAACTTAAAGTCGACGGTCTATGACATTTAGGTAGAATTTTGTGTAAATTGTAAGGAATTCCCGAAATTCAACCCTACGCTACTCTACTGTCCTGTCACCTAACTACATAGAGTTTCATTTTGAAGGAAATTGGTATTGCAGTTCCTTTAATGTACAATATGGCGTAGTTGTTGACAGCTGTATCAGGGAAGTTGTTACTGATTGATGTGTCGTCGAAGAATGACCGTATGCAGAACATTTATATATTATCTAAAATGGATGGAACACTTTTAAATATATCTGTCCTGTTGCAACAGAGGGGTTTGGCAATTTTGCCAAGAATTTCGCAAGAGGAACAGAAAGGTTTAACCACCAAATTTTGAGAATTTTGATAGAAGAAAAATGAATAATTTTATCTGTTATATTTTCCGTTTCAGCTGCGTAGCAATTAGATAGGTCAGTAGGAGTAGAAGTAGTATATTCTCCGACCTATATGACCTCTCTCTTTTTTATATGAAGTTTTTAAAACAGGATTGATATATTGTGCAAGGCATTTTATTATCATTTATTTCATTTAAATAGAGCTTTTGTTGCTTTTTTTTTTCCTCTTGTTTCTTTCATTTTACATGTATTACAGTTTGTAGTTCCCAGTATCATAGATTAGATGGTCAGATTGCTGATTGAGCATCTGTTATGGAATTGTTAGTGTCATTCTCAATTATCTAGCATTGTCACTTATAATGTACATGCATGAAAATACTGCCCCGGTGATTCGATTCGCCTTAGGTGGTTTCTTTTTGTTAACATTTTACTCTTTGGTGGGAAGGGGCTAGTAGATATTAGAACTACTTATTGTATTGTGTTGTATTTATTACACGTTCAGGCATATTCATGCAAGGCCGAACCCACTGGATACAGAACCTGTCACACCACAAGCTTGCTAAATCAGCAAGTAGTCAACAGAACAATGCATATAAATCCACAGCAGTAAATCAAGCATATGAAACCCAACACATCACTGCAACTACATAACCTACCATGTGTATATAAAATATAATACAAAATTGGAACATATACATGACAATAGATCAAATAATGGATCATAGCTAAACAAGAAACTATCCCTAATTAAAATATTCATCTAAAGTGTAATAGGATTTAGTAATGTAAAGAAGCACTTAAAGCTGCTCTAAATTGCTTAATATTATGAATTAACTCTTTTATATTTAAAGGAAGATGATTTAAAGGTTTAATACCAAAATAGTAAGGTCCTCTCTGGTAAGTTGTCAAATTTGTCTGAGGGCAATAAAGATCAAAATTACACCTAGTATTAAGGCCATGAATTTGTGATGTTGTGTGATATAAACCCATATTATTTGTAACAAACATCAATAAAGGAAATATATAGGGTGTTTCACGACTTTAGGGCATAACTGCAGGACGTGATTTCCTAGGTTTTTGCGATCAAAAAAGTTCATATAAACGTGTCCGATTTTGGATGGTTATGGAGTTATGACCTTTTTTCATTCCCGTACACGCCCTCGTATGAACCGCGTCTTTCAGCTGGCAGGTTGCTATATTTAGCCAGCTACAGACAGAGCGTTCTCGTTATCTCGACACTTTGAGAGCTATCTACGGCCGTGGGGGGGGGGCGCTTGGTATGTCCGGCACGGTTCACAACCGAGTGGCAGCCTGTGTTGCGGCCAGCAGTGACATTTTCGAAAATCAGCTTTAAGCACCAATCAATTCAAATTAAAGGTAATTTCACGAAGTTAACTTTACAGTCATACTTTAAATGTATCATGTATTATGCTGGTTTATTATTTTGTTTATTATGGGAAAGGTAAAGAAATTATCTGTACCCAACTTTCTGCAATTATTGGGAAATTGTTCCAGCATATTGATTTTTCGCCCATTACATTAGGTTGGGAGAATAATCAAGATATTACATTGGAGAAGGAGTCTTCCATTGCTTATAACGATCTTAATGATG